AATAAAAAATAAAAAGAAAAACAGATTAAAAGAAAGAGAGAGAGAGAGAGAGAGAGAGAGAGAGAGAGAGAGAGAGAGAGAGAGAGAGAAAAGAAACAATGAGGCTGAGTGATGTTTAGGAAAGTAGGTAAAAAGAGAAAAAAAAGAAAAATAAAAAATAGTTCAAAGAAGAGTTGAATATCAAACGAAGAGTAAATGACCAAGGACATGATCGTTTCGGTCAAAATAGTATTGAAAGGACATCATTTTAAACATTTTTTATCATTTCTTTGTTTTTTCTTGAAGAGAAATGAAAGAAAAATTTTGTTGAAATCAACGCCCTCACTCTTTGATGTTTTGATGAAAAACTCATTGGCTGACTGAATGAGATTTGCTATGTCTGAACAGAAATCTGTTTGGCTGATGACAACGAATCCACTACTGAAGTTAAATGAAAATAATGAGAGCGATTAAGAGAGAAAGTAAGAAGAAGTTAAGGTGAAGAGAGTAAGAGAGAAAACGAATAATGCAGAGAATAGGGAAGTAGACAGAACTTTAGGAGAATTGAGAGTTGTAGAAGCGCAACTCTTTTCCTGCAGTTTCTCCCATCTCTCTTTCAGAACACATGAATAATGGCAACACATGTCTCTCTCTCTCTCTATCTTTCTTCTTATTCTTACAGCTTTCTCTCTCTCTCTCTCTCTCTCTCTCTCTCTCTCTCTCTGTTCCTCCTCTCTCTTCGAGCTTCTTCTTCTTTATCTCTTTTTATCGTATGTTTCAAGGTTCGCACGAGTCATCTCAGCAACAAAGGTACCCTGAATTCCTGAATACCTCGGAAGGCTTTCTGACAACGAGCGAACTTTGACAAATTACGAATGGCTTTGTTTTCCCTTTTTAAAGTAAAGCAGCACTTAAAGTAATTATTTGTAGGGACGAAGGTGGAGAGATCGATCATCGAGCTTTGATAAGATCATCTGAGACTATTTGAATAAGCTTCTCACATCTCCTCCTCTCTTCACACTCTCATTCTTTTTTTAAAGATATTCTCCCTTTAACCAATAAACGAATGGCAAGTGATTAACAATGTGTGAGAAGAAACACCTTCATCGGAATTTTGTAAGAAAAGCTCTTCAAATAAAGTTTTTCCCGAAGAAAGATGTTCTTTGGATGAAAAGTCAAATGACGTTGCACTTTTAGTTCGAAAAAATCTTCTCTTATTTTTACTATTTTTTGTGAGAAAAAAAGAGCAAAGAGCATAAAGAAGTTCAGAGATAAGCTGAAGTAGAGATGAAACGAACGAAATGGTTTTATTTTACATTTTTTAAGCTTTTACTCATAATTTATGTAAATTGGGCAGTGACGTTTTGTTTCTTCAAAGTACTCATTATGCAGACAGGCAGATATGGAAGGTTAAATGAGAAGAAGAGAAGACTACAGTTGGACTTACTTGTGCTCTCAGATGTTTTCAGTAAAGTTCTTTTATATTTTCTGTCTATATATGGAAACTAAACAACAACTATCAGAATGAGTGGCAGAATTGACAATAAACAAACAAAATGGAATTTTTGTTAAATGAAGATGAAAGACATTTTCTTTTAAGCTTCTTTCTATAAACTTCCTTTTCCTCTTTCTTATCTTCTTTTGTCTGCTTTGGAGCAAAAAACATAAGACGGAGGTGGTTTCCCACTTGAAACACAGATTGCGTCATTGCTTAAGCAGTATGAAAGGAAGGGTCGAGGGTTCGATTCCAGTCCATGCAAAAACACATCCGATTGCCCGCTAGTAACAATAGCTTCAGAAATGGTCTTCAAACATTGAATTCTAAGGTTTCATTCATACATTTTTCATACGAAAACGTCCATTTCGCATCATTTTCCTTCTGAAACATTGCTCTTTCAGAACAACTATGGAGATGTAAGTGCCTTGAGCCGATCGAAAAACACCGTTGACATGAAAATGTTCATTTTTACCTTTTTTTTTGTATTTTTTCGATTTTAAAATGAAAAACAAACAAAAAATATATAAATAGACACATAAATTAATAGAAAAAGAACTATAATTTCTCATCAAAGAGAGACTACTACCTGCCTAATTATTATTATTTGAAAAGAATGGAGAAGAAGCTTGTTGGTGACAATGACTAGACTCATATGAGGTTATTGGCAAAGTAAAAAGGAATTTAAGATGAGCTTATTAAGGGCTGTCAGTGAAGGTCAAAGCCAATAAATGGGGTGTCAGGAGCGAAAGGAAATATTTATAACATATGTATATACATATAATATATATATATAAGTTAATCACTTCTTTATACAGTAGATAGAAGAGATAACGAGAGAATGGATATTCTCAATGAGATGAGAGGTTGCATTCTCTCCAGAGAGCATGGCTCAGTATAGATGAACGACAGCCGGTTGAGAGTAGAAGAAAAGCGAGATAGAGAGAGAATTTCCGATAGAGAGGGAAAAATATCCAAAGATTCCTAAACTTTGCTTTCCATGTTACCATTAAGTTTCAATACGTGGGGTACTCCCTCTTCTCCAATTTCGAATCTTATTGAATAAGCCAGCCGGTGATAAGGCTGAGCACTTGCCTAAGAAAGTTAAGATTACTATGAGAAACTCAAACAGAACGATCACCAGTTGTGATATCAGCAGGGACTTCCTTCTTCTTACGTTGTGAGTATCGTCGAATTGCAGCATGGAAGTCATCAATGTGTCGAGGGCTTGGCTGAAAACGATTGAAAGTCAAGTGATACATGTCTGATGTATGATTTACAGTTTTTACGAATTCAGGAGCAAAAGCTTCTTGTATTTCAGCGACTAATCCAACTAACAAATCGTCCACGTCGTGGTTCAACGCAACAGAAATTTCGAAATGTTCAAATCCATGTTGAGCACAAGCTTGACGAACTTCTGAAACAAAGGTCGATATGATAATATTCCAAGTAGGGGGAAACCTTGTTTGAGGACAGTTCGTTTCCTTTCTAAATCAATCTTATTACCGGCTACAACAATGGGGATGTTTTTACACAAAACTGATTCGCGGATCATCTGAATGTTGGATAATCAGGTTCGTTTATCGTTAAGCTTTCTAACCTCAATTCCATGTAAGGCCTGTTTCCAGCTTGATCTAGAATCAATGCTGTACACAACAACATAAGCATGAATGTCTGGGTTGAGGAACGTGTCATCAGCCTAAAGAGAAAATAGTACAATCTGATTTCGCGTTTATATCTCACCATATCACTTTCCAAGAAAATTAAATCGCACTCTTGACCACCAATGTTGATAGATACAGTATTCTCATAATCTTCTAAAAATAAAAGAGAATGAAGTTTGTTGTGAGCCGAAACAGGATTACGTATTTCGTCAGCAAAGGCATTTTTATATTCAGAAGTTATGAGTTGTGCGATCATTGATGATTTACCAGTACCCGTGTCTCCAAGTACATAAATCTGAAAGTAGAGTATGGAAAACGGTAAGCTATGCTATGAAATACTTTATAAATTGAATGACTTGTTCCTGCATCGTTCTCTTCGCTTTGCTCTTTACGTGAATCATCTGATGAAGATGGGCTGTCACTTCGGCTTCCTCGAGCAGAGTCGCTCCCAGACATGGCGTAAGGAGAAGGTGATTTATCTCCTTGAAATCCTGCAAATATCATGCTTGATCTGGGATCATTTTCAAAATATTATCGGACAGTGTGTGAAGTTGAAAAGCTTCAAGAAGTTTGAAAATAGAATTATATGATTGAGAGGGAGGTTAGATGGTTAGAGTAAAAAGTATGAAAAGAGTGTGTGTGTGTGTGTGTGGAATGAAAAGAGAGTCAAAGAAGACAACTGGTTCAATTGATAACAGTATAAAAGAAAGAAAAAAGATTTTGCAGAAGAAACAAACCTTTGGCTATACGTTTTCGACGAAACGAATCCCCGCGACTAACGACAGCTCCCTTGGCGTCTATTTTAAATTGGCGAACTCTATAAAACAAAATGTTGTTTAAAACTTAAACGAGGATGGAATATGATTTTGGTCTTACCGAGTGTAATCTTCGGAATCCGGAAGGCGTAGAAAACGTTCTTCAACTTCACTTGTAGGTTTGGCTTCTGGCCATACATCTGTACGTGGCTCAACTAGACGAGATCTGAAGAAGAGAAACATATCGACATTCGGTAATGCCGGGGAAGATTCAGATGCTCGTCGTGATGAAACTCGACTTCGACGTCGTTCTGCCATTTGTCAGCTTAAGCAGGGTTGTTGTTTTGTCTTTGCATGGATAAGAAAGAAACTGATGAAGATGGAAAATATTAAGATTGAACTGGGAATTCTGGAGGAGATAGATGATGTAGGTATTGCTCCGCTCACAACAACGAGGAAGCTTTTTATTTTTATCCAATAGCATTGAAAAAAAAGTTGTAGAATCAAAATTACTGCGATGAGGAAGCGAATTGAGAGAGAAGCTGATCAAGAAAATTTCCGCGTAAGAGGAAGGGATGATGGAAGAGCTGGGTGGGATTGGGTGCAACTTTTTTAAAGCTCAATTGAAACTGAAAAAAGAAGTCTGTATTGGGAGAGAAAGAAAGAGGAATGAAGAGATATAGAAGGAGAGATGGAGGTTATAAGAGAACGTGAAAGTTGAATTGAAGGTGTCAGAGTAACTGAAGGGTGGAGCATCCGCAGCTGCTGTGGATATCATGTGCAATGGGTAATATGATGGAAGAAAAGAAGGAAATCAAGTAGTTCCATTATATGATATAGTTACAAAGGTAATCAAACATGGACTCCTCTTCATATTTTCTGTAAGAAAAGTGAAGAAAAAAAAGAGATTTTTTGCCATCACAAGACTAGCCAGACATGTTGGATTTTCGTTTGAAAAATTCAATGATAGTGTTTAACCAGATGGTGACTGTTTATATAAGAAAATTGGATCAGAGATAATATGTGATTAAGAGAGTTTCGATCAGGTCAGAGAAAAAAATGAAAAGAAAGCTCGAAATCGCATTTTCTTCATTTTTCGATCATTTGATGACAAGTTTGATGATTTGAAATCTCGAAACGCCTCAGGGAAGATGAAGCTAATCGTCTTCGGCGTACATAATTCGACAAAAAGCTTCATTGCTTTCAATCATTTATATGCTTTTAAAGCCTATAAATACCTCAATTAACTATACTCAAAACAAAGTTATTACTATTTATAAGCTTAAGCTTATACTCTACGAATATAAATGAAGCCTCAACTTCCCGTTTCTCTGATAGTAAGCAACCGAGTCACGCAAATACTTGAAACGAAATAAAAATTCTTACGTTACTACCACGTGGACTTGACGTTAAGTTCACGTGAAAAATAAGTTAAGCTGACATGGCGAACAAACGACGAGAAGAACAACTTTAAAATACCTTTGTAAGCTGCTTCTTCTGGAGACTGTGGGAGTACTTCGACGTCTTTCACAACTAACATCTTCAGCTGCTGTTCGTCGTATCTACAAAAGGAACATTGGTGAACTGGAGACAAAAGTGTTCAGAAGTAGAGAGCCATGTCACATAAGAACATGAAGTGTCTGGCAGTAAGGTAAGAGATCTAAGGCTTTGTGAGCACTGACAGAGACTTAGAAAAGAGTTACAAGCAGAGACGGAGTGCTTATTATGAATGATAACCAACCTCGACTACTGGCCTTGGACGATGCTTGAATGATTGCGACCGCAGTGGTTGTCTCATATCCGGAGATAGGTATCCACTGAAATATACGTATAATTAATGGATCAAGCATGTGCTGTATAAAACAAAGAGAAAACAAGCATTTTTTACTTTTCTTTTTTCTCAAAATACTCTCTGATAACGTTTTGTTGTTTTTTCAAAACAAAAAAACAAACAAAAACAGGCGCAGAACTGGATGAGCAAAATGGAAGAAGAAGCTTCAAGCGTTCAGGTGAAATTAATGAACGATGTTAGCAAAAAATGATAAAGGGCTTGTTGGCGGAAAGGAGCAGCTCAAAGAGAGAATATGATTTGGGAGCAAAAGCAAAAAAGAAAGAGTAGTTTTGCAAAAAAAAAGTTGAAGAGCGAAAGTATAAAGAGTTTCGGAACGGGGGGGGGAGCGGCTGGACAAGTATTACAAGGACTATACAGAGAAATAAAATTAAAGGTGAGTTATGATGGATGTTGAGAGAGGCGTAGAGAGGAACGGAAGAGAGAGAGAAGAAGAGAGAGAGAGGAAGAAAAAGGAAAACAGGTAGAAAGAGAGAGATAGAGAGAGCCAGCTGATGCTCGAAGTCGGCAAAACGACGCCGTGGATGTCATGTCGTCGTGTGTGGGAATTAGCCGTTTTCAAATGTTATATGAGTGAGGTAGTTGTCATCCCTGATGGTGTATCGCCGACGACGTTTGTTCTCTCTCCCTCTTTCTTTCTTATTTACCACAACAGCAGCAGCAGAAGAAGAATAAGAAGAAGTAGCAGGAGGAGAAGGAGAAGGAGAAGATACTTGTGCACATCATCTGACAAAATGTGAAGGAGTACGAGAGAAAGTACCTTTTGCTGTTGATTCAAATAAACTTATTTAAAAGACCAACTTACTATATCATATAGTTTAAGATAGATAGAAAAACCTTCAACTATATGATGCACAACGAAAAGTCTTCAGAAAAAGAAGGAAGAAGATGAAAACCTCGTGAAGAAAAGCCAATTGGTCAGCTGGAGAAAGCTCAAAGAAAGCTGACAAATTGCCAGAAACTACAAAGAACAGATAAGTTGGTTTTATGGACGAACAACCAATCCGAGCTTTTCCTAATTTGGTTAAAGAAGCTGTGACTCAGCAGTAAACAGCTTAATCTCTCTTAGAGGTAGAGATAATGAAACTAAAAGAGAGCCAAAAAAAAGTTTGATGAGAACGAGACAGTGAGAGTCGAAACCTAAAAAGAGAACAAGGCTTCTTCGGAAGGCAGAGATAGAGAGTGATCTTAACTGGTTCTAAGATAATTCAGGACAATTTTGGAACAAAACTGCCTCAAACTTGGTGATTTTCAGTCGCCGCGAAGCAGCCACCAGTATATTGCTTGAGGGCAAATGGGAGGAAAGAAGAAGCTCTCTTGACCTTACGAAGTAAAGTATAAAGGAAGAAAGAGAGAATGAAAGAGGTTTTGTGATCTATTAATACGAAAAAAAGAGAGAGAAAGAACAGAAAGAGGAAAAAGGTAAAAAAAAAGAAATTAGATCAAAGGACTTCTTGCCGCAGAACATCAGTCGTTCTTTTGTCCTGTGTGTGAAGCTTAAAATATATATGAATGTCCTCATATGGTTAAAAGCAGAAGAGAAAAGAAAAGGCATATATACAGCCTGCGGCTAATTAGCTTTATCTCATGCATAAGGTGAAGCTCTTTGTGATATTCCCTTATAAATAGGATGAAAATTCTCAAGTATTGTTAGTTTAATTAAGAGAGAGAGTGACTCTCTGTGGGGGTGGCTTAACCGAGCCGAGAGTTATAGGGGCATGAGGGGTGTGAAGAGCTGCTCTCGTTGTGCTCTCCCGCAGTTGCACAGACGATTTCGGTGCTCTCAGAGGGTTTACTGTCAAGAATGTATGTATGAGAGAGGCTAGAGATATTGGGAAAGCTAGACAGCATTTATAAATGAGATAGTAATCAGATATGACAGACAAAAATAATTTGAAGCATGGAGGGGGTGGAAGAGGTTTTTCTTTTTTTGCGACTTGTGAATCATCTTTTGCTAGTCCGAGGAAGGAAAGAAGAAAAAAACTTCTTTCAGTCTGTTTTTGAAAACTTCATTAACTATGTGCATACTATCAATCATGATCAGGTTGTAATCAAAGCTTTTGACCTCAAAACACAATCAAGAAATTCTTCAGGTCGAATGAGATTTATGATGTCAATTGGCGAACAAGCTTTTCCGTGTCATGCACTCTGTTTCACTTGCGAACAATACTATTTAACTCTCGTTTTATTATAAGATTCCCTCTTACAAGTGAATTCCACAGACGACATCATCATACATCCCATCAGTAACAACTGAGGAGAGAACAAGGAATTCCTGGTGAAGGTGGAATAATATTGTCAAGGAAGGTGAAATGAGGAAGTTTACTTCACAACGTTCAAAAATATGAGAATCAGAAATGAAGGGGTGATGTAAGAGAAGGGAAAAGAGAATTAGGGGAGGTTAACAGAGAGAGAGAGAGAGAGAGAAGGAAGGGGGAAAGCAGCCGACAAGAATGAAAATCCTTTTCTGAATAAACCACATATTTAATGAATTATACGTATAAAGTTAATCAATGATCGCATAAAGCATTAGCTTCATGTATGTAGAGATATAGAATATCTTTAGAAGAGAGTACAACTATGAAACAAAGAGGGAATTTCTCTCTTTCAAAAAGTTTTGTAATGTTTCAACGGCCTTGTTTCATCCGTTTCGTTTCTTCGTCGTCTTTTTCATTTTCGGCTCATTCGAAGTACTAGATGGAGATCAATGTGAAGGAGATAGAGAGAAATGAGAACGAAAAGTAAGACAGAGTGAGAGAAAGGAAGAATAAGAAAGAAAGGAAGAAAAAGTTATAACGTCTTCGAGCTAAAGGATAATTACCATGTGAAGCTTTCATTTGTTTCAACGAGAAGACATTACAATCTGAATGGGAAGCGTTCCAGTTCAGCTTCATCTTATGTTGATTAAACAGAAGAAGCTCATGAGGCACGAACACCCATTTGAATAAAATGTTTAAAAAGTGAAAGAGCGAAGAATAAGAGTGAGAAAACTTGTAAGGTAAACTAAGAGAGAGTTTGAGGATGACAGAGAAAAAAAGAAAAAGTACGAGTGTAAGAAGGATGGTTGAAGGTGGAGAGGGTGGATGGAACAACCGGTCAGTGCATCTTTTCATGTGAAAATGTTCACGTAGATCACAAGTGACAGTCACGTGAGAAAGAATGTCGCGCACAGAGTGAAAATAAATTTGAGACTTTTAAAGTGGTGAAGACAGAGAAGGTTTGCTTGCTGAAGGGAGAGAAAGAGAGAGAGAAAGTCATCGATTCCTTAGGAGAGACGTGGCCCACAGTATGTGTTGAACATGAGAATTTCATAAACAAAATATTGGAGAAAATTATAATTAGAAGGAAAAACAAATGAGAAATTGAGTCTTTTTGGAAAAATTTTTTGTTTTTCTTTTATTCCTTGTGGATGAGAAGAAGTAGGAGAAGAAGCTATGTTGTTGTTCAATGATGCTGCTAACATAACCTCTATGTTCTACAAAGGAAATATACAGAAATGTGGCATAGAAAGTCTTTTGTAAACTCAAAATAATTCCACAGATGACGTCATTATTCGTCTAATGTATTCGAGAGGCATTCGAGCTGCCTGAGGCTACTACTATCCATAATGGTCATCTGTCCATTTTCGCCAACCGACTTTATAAATATAATGATAATATGAGAGAGTGGAAGGCAGTCATATGAAATATGTGAAATGAATAGAGATTAAGATATTGAAAGAGAAGTCAAAGAGTAAGAGTATGAGAGAGAGAGTAGAAGAAATTGAAATGAGAGGTCACACATCTCATAGTTATTGTCGTTGAAAGCATAAGCTTCTGGAAAAGACCATCAGAGCAATGGGTGGTGTATTGGTCATTTGGTCGATTTCTCTCTATCCCTCTTCTCTCTTTCTCTCTCTCTTACTCCACTCTCATTTTCTGTTGAACTCTCTCACGAATATTCTCTCGTAACTCAACTAGCCGCTAGCAGTTGAATTAGAAACAATAGCATTTAGGCGAAAGCTCTTCGAACAAGAAGAGGAAAAGCTTAATAGTCAAAAGGACATCAATTCATTTTCTGAGAGTGAAGCAGATGTTGTAAGTTTTTCTCAAATAATTATCCTAATAATTACACATAATTTGGATGATTTCAGTTCAAAGATTGATAAAATAAAATATTCCATTTTGTAGAAAGCTCATTAGATAGTATGGGTAAGTGAGAGAGTGTGAGAGATAACACGACAACTTTTGTCGGAAAACCATCGAGGAAAAGCTGACGGACGTCGTCGGCACAGATCAGTTGGATCTTTTTGTTGTCTCTCAAACGACATCGAAAGGAACTAATCAAACAACTTTTCTTCAAATACTTAAAGTTCTTCTTCATTTTATTCTGAATTTCACGTTTACAAAGAAAATTCTGAAGACATTTGATTGTGACGTCACAGATTGAGAAAGAAAAAAAAAGTTGAAAGAATAGAATGGGTTAGGTAGAAGTAAATGTTAAAGTATGAAGCACATATGCATTCAAAAGAAGATAAAGCTGATCAAATTGCAACTTTGATGAAGATGAAGCTTCTCCATCCCTTCTTCTTCTTCTTCTCCAAAGTAAATTTTTAGTTGAATTTACAACAGAATAAGTACATAACACCTAGAGATGCTAGTAAGAGCTTAAAGTAAATGGACGAGAAAGGAAAAGCACGAACATTGGCTGCTTTTCTCTTTTTCTCCTCTGCCCTTCTCCCAACAGAGGCGTTAGTTCAGCTCATGACCATATTTGGAATAAAAACAGACTTTATTGGATAGTTTCTTAAAAACGAGCAACAAGAGACAACCACAAAAAAATCTCTGATAATAGATGTGCGTGAAAAGAATGAATGACGTAACTCGAAAAGAAGGCAGAAAGACTGGGCCTCTGAAGAAGCTTGATAGATGGAACCGAATGGATTATTCTTACATTTGATGGCCTCTCAAGCTCATAGACAAACAATTTCACGCTCTGTGACTCGTAAAATGTGTGGCAAATTGGTAGGAACGAACTTATTCCACAATTTTGTGATTTCAATAGAATGTTCTCTCTTATTGTTCATAGAAGGGTAAAGGAAATAGTAGACAGTATCAGTAATGGAGAGGGTGTTAGAGAATAGGTAAGTTGGAACCATGAAGTAGCCGGAAGAGAGAGAGAGAAAAAGAATTTTTTAAAAAATTAAAAAAGAAAGAAAACACAGAGACAGAATGGTAAAGTTGACAGGAAAGGATAAGTAGTATTCACTAGAAGACTCTAGCAGCAGGATATAGAAAGGCATTTGCAGAATACGCTGGTCAATTTCTCTTTCAAACTCTTTTTTCTCTCTCTGTCTCTCTCTGTGTATTTCTCTCTCTCTCTCTATTTCTCTTTTGCACCTTTCACCTTCATATACAACTGACATGATCGTTAACACCTTGCTTTTTGAGCTTTTAAATTTCAATTTTAAAAATCACAGCGGGAACGTGAGGATGCAAAAGGAAGAGGACAAAGCAAGAGAGGTCTCAAATGATAAAGTTGCAATAAAACGAGCAAAAAGAAAAAAAAGTTGAAAGAATGCTCTCGAAGCTGTTGAGAGGTAAAAGTAAGCAGAAAGAAGTGAAGAAGTTATTTATTCTCTCTTAAATAGAAAGAAGTATGAAAGATGGAGAGACGATAGACGAGGGAAGTGTTTAAAAGGCAATGTCAATGTTACGAACATGAATTTTACATTTTCAGAAGTCTTCTTCCTCTCTCTTCAACAGTTGGTTTAAAAAAAGAACTTTCATTTGAAAGTCAAAATTCTCATGAAGGATTGTTTGAATAGCTGGCCATATATGGTAAAGGAACGAAGCTTGAAGTAAAAGCATCACAAGTACGCGAAAAACTTTCGAAAGAACCTTCCACTGCCTTCAACCAAATAGAATGTGCGAATAGAAAGCTGCTGCTCACTGAACGATCTTTTGGTTTTTTCCTTAATATTAGACGATGATCATGTAATTCAATCGGCTCAAAGTACGTGAAATCATTTGAAGAATTAGCCAATTCGCTTCTGATATTTCTCAAATTTCATTTCTCTTTTGACGTTTTTACCAAAAAAAGAAAAAAAAGATGAAAAGGATGATGGATATATGAATAGGGTGAAAGAGCACTGTTGGACATTTGCCAACTGATATCAATTTAGAATCATTAAAGCTACGTGAAACTGACGTGAACATAGAAAAATTCATTTTGACTGTAGGCGGAAGTAGAATGACGGTTGTTCATTTATCTTAAAAGTACAAGAGGAAGAAGAAGCAGAAGCATAGATAGTAAAGAGAGAGAGAGAGAGAGAGAGAGAGAGAGAGAGAGAGAGAGAGAGAGAGAGAGAGATTGTTAACTGATTGAACCCTGAAGGCGATTTAATGATGAAAATGAGAAAAACAAACAATTAGTTAGTGAAATTACAAGTTCTTTTAATGAAAAGAAACAATAATTTGGATTGAAAGCTTTCATTTGTCTGCAAATTCAATGATTCTTTTGTGTGTTTTTCATTGAAAATATTTGATAAATTGGCAATGTTATGTTATTAATAAGATATTTATGAGATTTAATTGACTTTCTCTATCAAACAAGTCAACGTTTACCTTTGACAAGATGAGTTACATAGAGAGAGAGAGAGAGAAAACCTCTTAAAGATGTCAGAAGGAAGTTATGTTATTGCTAACTTGAAAGTGATAGTTCCTTCTTGAAGATGAAGATGATGATCTTCGTTTTTGACAAGAAAATACAAAAAGTCCTCTTGAAAGAGAGAGAAAGAGGGGGTGAATCTACAATGAGGAGAGGAACTCTTCTAATGAATTAAGAGGCGAAAACCTTCTAAACAACTAAAAGTATAATAATCTCAAAGCTTTTTGTTACTTTCAGCTTCTGGCTGTAAGGGGGGGGGGGGAAATGTGATATCTCGCAAAGGATATTTGTCAGCAAAAAAACGAATGAGAAACAAGAAGCAAAAAAAGAGATTTTTCAATGGAAAGATGAGACCAATTAACTATATGTGTATAGTTAAGAGAAGCTAAACGAAGAGCACTGACTTTTCGGGTGTTTTAGTTATTACGTTCTTCTTTTTTCTTTCGATATTTTGGACACACTCAGTTGTAATAATGACTTTGCCCTCAAGCTATCCAGTAGAGAGAGAGAGAGTGACAGAGAGAGAGAGAGAGAATAGGAAAAGCTCAAAGCAGTACTAGAGAAGCAAATGAAGCACAAAGATGATGTACATTAGCCACAAGATTAGGAAAAGTTGTTATTAGTTTCTATAAGGTGGCAGAGCGTATTGTTCGAACAACAGACTTACTTGTTGGTGTGTAGTGTTCGATCACTCAGGAATCCCAACTGTTGGTAAGGATCAGCACTTCTTACTTCTCCCAAACGTCTATATATAGAATATATATGTAATTGCATTTTAATATGCAGGTGAAATGAATTACCTATGTTGCACAGAAGGTGATTGAGTGGGAGTTCGAGGTAGACGTCTAACGCTATTGCGAGTGGGACGAGGAGATAACGACATGAAGCTGAAATATAAGAAATAAAATGAAAATAATATATTATTTTTGATAAAAAATAATGTAGAAAAAAATTAATTTGGGGCGTACAAACTCCACGTGAAAGCAGGTGTAATTGCAATTGAATATGCAAATGAAGGGCAAACGAAAAGGGCAAGACAAAGGATTGAGAGAGTTTTGATGGATTTTGGAGTGTAAATGAGCTTCATCTCTCACATTGTAAATATTTATAGTTAACATTTATATAATTAAATACATATAGTTAAGGATAAATAAGAAAATATATTCCTGAGAAGAAATTTTGAAAGTTTGAAAGAGTCAATGAAATGGAGAGAGCAAGTTAGAGATGTGGAAGAAGCTGGAAGAGATTATGAAGAAGGTTGAGAGACAGAGAAAGAAACATATCAATGGTAACAACACTCAAGTAGAATTATAAGAAGAAAATAGTAAAGACATAAAGAGACTGGGATTGAGAGAGAGAGAGCGAGAGAGGAAGAGAGAGAGAGTTGTCGAAAAAAAAGTTTTTTTACACCCTTTTATAAGTTTTTTTCGAGAATATATGACGTCAGAGGGTCGGTGAGTCAAAATAAAAGGTTAATTTATATGAAATATAATTAATAAAAAAAAGATGGGGCAGAATGTAAATTTGAAGCAAAAACATCCGGCTAAGCCTTGACTGCTTTTTCCAATCAAGTCATGACGCCTTTTCTTATCTCTTTTTTGCCACAGGGCAAGAAGCAGAAAGTTTGGTGTGCCAATTAGAAATGGCAAGAGAGAGAGTTTGAGAGAGAAGGTCATAGAGAGAGAGAATAGACGTAAGAAAAGAATTTTTTTGATTTCAGATGAAACAAAATGTTTTTTCGCTTTCGTTTATAGAACAAAGGATTGCAAAGTATAACATAGACAGAAGGGAAAGTAAGGATATGACAAAATATTTTAAAGTTTCTCAAAAATGCATAGTTGACATCACGAGACTCATCTCATTAACTATACGTATAGTTAATTTTCTTTTCAAACAACTTTTCGTCTTAGAAAGGAATTGAACGATTAGTATTTAGTAGTCTTTTACTCTTTTGTCTTAAATAAGAGAAATGTAATGTGTTCACCCAAAGGTTGAACGAAGAAGAATAAGAGAGACTAAGAGGCAAGCAAGAGGGTGGGTTCAATAAGAATTAATCTATTCCGAGACTGTTAAAAGAAAGAGATCAGAATCCAACACAAGATACTCGGGGTGGAAAGGAAGAGAGGGAGAGAGAGAGAGAGAGCTATAGGGCAGTAGATGAACACCACTGCAGCTTGAACAGTCAGAAGAGAAAGAGAGAAGTCGTCATGTTATAAGCAGAAAGAAGCTGGAAGATGAGAGTATAAGAAAAGTAGAAAAATGGTTGAAAGAGATGAATAAAAGTCAGAAAGTATTGTTTCCAAACCAAGTCAAAGTGGTCGTTTGTTGTTGAAGCTGAAAGAAATATTCTGAAAAAGAATAGAATATGATGTCTATTTGTGTTGCAAAGTCTCTTGGAAACGACGAAATTGGAGAATTTATATTTTGATTGTCAGCAACTAAACTTTCAACTCTACCTTTCCAAATATAATTTATTTCATGTAATTTGCATAAATTATGGAAGGCCTTTAGAGCTTCAGGTGGAAGAAATTGGATGGAAAGGGCAGAATATGATGAATATGACCAAATACGATATGAAATACATGTTCAAACTGGTCTGACGCACATTGCTCGAACATTGGATAAACATTCTCAGCAACAGTTTTATCATTTTATTTAACTTTGGTAATATTTAAACAGAATGCAAATCAAATATTAGAAAATTGAAAAAAAAAGATGATGAAAATCGAATATGAGAGTATAGAGCTCACTTCATTTGGCAAAGAAGCTCTGAATGGGGTAGCTCAAAACGTAAAATGAGATTTGGTGGATGGAAAAGTAGTTATGACAACATGAAAAACGGTGTTTTAGCTTATGAGTATCACATTGCTTCTTGGGGGTTTAAAGCTTCAACTTGGGGACATGTCAACAGGCTCTCTCTCTCTCTCTCTGTTCATATGTCTCTTGTTAAGAAAGAGAGAGAGAGAGAGAAGTTTTATTTATGAAAAAAAGAAAAATATTAATTGGCAACTTGATCTTCTTCATGCGGAGTAATGCAAAAGGAGTTTGCGGCCTGAGGCAAAAATCTAAGTTGATAAGCGAAATAATTCATGAAATTGTTCAAAAATTGATGGAAGAAGCGGAAACGAATTCTTTCCACTTGATGCTGACTCCGTTTCAATGGCAGACGAAGAGAAGGGAAATAAAGACAACATTATATTAAATTTCATGAAACCTCTGTTAATTGTGAGGGGGATTTGAGTTAATTTAAGATGAAAATCGTTTGGAAATGAAGAAAAAGGAAAGTTCGAAGAGGATGAAAGGGCTTTGGCAAGGGCATTGTTACCAGAGACATCGTTTTCTTAGAGAGGCAGGGCTTACAGAGTAACATCTATAAAGGGAGTTCGTGAGAGAGCTTCAGAGGGAAAAGCAATGAGGAAGAGAGGGTTTTATGAAGTTTTAAATTAAAAATTTCCACGCATGTCATTTGATCTTCTTCTTTACTTTTATGATTAAATTGCAAACAAAAAAAATTTCATCAGTCATATGTGGACACGCGAAGAACTTGACGACGACCATGAGAGCGAAGACGACGACAACGAGATGACGGAATGAAGTAACCATATTAGCTAACATATAAGCGATGAACTTGATGAGGAAAATTATATTTTCTTTCAAATTAATTAAAAAAGATCAGATGAGAAGATTCTGAAGACATTGCCGACTAAAGATACGAGGGAAGCAGGCTGGCTGTGTGTGAGAGCAAAACCCATCGAAAATCCTTTTTTTGAATAAAAAACATGCAAAATATAATCCATTAGCTACACGAATGATGAAACGAATTTGTATTTTCTTGCCTCAAAAGGAAGAGATTGGACTGGGTTTTGTGACAAAACGTATACGACTCTGTGATCTTCTTGTCGTCGTTTTGTAAAAGATGTGAAGAAGCGAAAACTCCTTCTTCTTCATCTTTTTTCTAGAATGTTCATGAAAAACACAACAAAACTGTCAAAATATTCCAATTATCGTGCGGGAGAACAGAAAAATACAAAAGAATATTCTTAATTTCATTTTATTTGTTTAAAATTATTTGTTGAGACAAGATGAAGCTTCAAGTACTTGGCTTGGCTTTTTGCTCTGCTGATCGTTACATGCTCCTCCCACTTCATGTCTCTCTTGCCACTAGTGGAATTACCTTTGCTTAAGGCTATTCTATCGTTCTTTCTTTGTTTCTCTATTCTCTCATCTTTTCATTCTTTTACTCCCCCCCCCCTCTCTCTCTCTCTCTCTACTTTCCTCTCCCTATCTCCCTTTCTCTTTTTCACTTCAAACATATTTTTTTTAATTCGCGTCAATGGAAGTGAGGTGAAGGAATACAAACTATATCATATTTGGTTGAATTAAGTTATTTAATTAACGATATAAATGATAATTGAATAAAAAAATAAAATGCAATTTCAACGACAATAAATTAGTTTGAGGGAAACGGTATTGTACGAGAAGATGATGGAAGAGAGAGGGAGAGAGAGAGAGAGGGTGACAGAGAGAGAAAGTGAGTGAAAGAAAAAGAGAATACGAGAGAGATAATGAGAGAGGGAAGCAACCGATAATATGGCCTGTTTTTCAGAAAAATGAACGAATTTCACGTGAACTCTCACGTACGTCTCATATTTGAACGCCAAATATGCAAATGAGATTGAAGCAGGCGAAAGTTCAATGGAAGAAAACGTAAATAATTCACGTGAAAGCCAATTGATGTTGGATGATGAGGAAAAATTCTGAATGAAAAATACGTTTTGAAATGATTTGGTGAAAGATGCACTTATTGAATTGTTTGCAAAAATAAAATGAAATACAGGAAAGGGTAAAAGAAAAGAAGTAGAGGGAGAGAAGGAGGGAGAGAAGGAGGGAGAGATGGAGGGATTGTGAAGAGAAAAGGTAAAGAACGAAAGAATTATAGTTTAAATCAATTTGAATGAAAATTTAACAAAAGGAAAATAAAAAAGGAAAACACAAGGCAATGAATACAGCCCAATACAAATTGCTGTTTACATGTTACTGAACATCAAGCCGATTCATGTACGTTTGGTTCAGATCGTTTCTTCAGTTTGACAAGGAGAAAGAGAAGGAAGAACATGATGAAGGGAGGATGTAGAGAGGGGTGTAGTAAGGGGACAGGAAAGAACAGATTCTTGCTCCTTGATTCAGATTTCTGATTCAAAAGTTTGAAAAAATAAAAAGAAATGTGGTAGCGGAAAACACCCAGAATGATTATAAATATTCTTTTTTTAGTTTTTTGTTCTCTTTCTCTTCATTCTACTCTCTCTCTCCCTCTCTATTCCACCAAATATTATTTGAGAGCTCCGGAAATCATTCTCGCCATTCACCAAAGCACAGGAACATCTCAGATGACGATTGGTCTGAAGTGGTAAGAAGGATGAAATTTTTTTTGTTTTTTTTTGCCCCCCACATCTGGTTGTTTTCATTTTTCTCATCCAAACAGTCAAATTTCTAATTTGGAATGATCTTTCTGCAGTTGAACAGAAAAAGACAAATATCAAAAGGTCTGAAGAAGGACTGAAGTAGAAAGGTGGGGGAGGTTAGCAGGGGAAATGAAATAAGAAAGTACGTAATTGGATAGAATCAAACAAGGCGGACATAAGCCATTATAAAAGGGTTTTGAAAGAAACCCTTAATGAAGAAGCTCAAATAGATCGGGAAGGACAGAAAAAAAGCTGAGAAAAAAAGGGAGGTGAAAGGCTGCAGGGTAATTTTTTTTTCTCTTCAACAGATCCAACTTGGCTTACAACGAATTGTCAGGAAACATGTATAGCTTGGTAATTGTCGGCGAATGAAATGTTCCGATTAAAAATGAGAAAAACTAAGAGAGGTAGAAAGAGAGGGAGGGAAAGAGAGAGCAGCCTAGTCTAAGCTTAAGTGGAAATCAAAAAAGGTAATTAAAGGCCAATTATCAAAGGAAATTAGTGAAGAAACTCGACAATTCATTATTTAATTGTTCTTTTCTCTCATTCTTTTTTGAAATGATGATTGGCAGATGAGAAAACAGGGAGAAATATTGGATAAAATCACAACAAATTGTGCAACAACGACATCATTTTCGGTTTAAAAGAAGATTTCTATTATCCTCCGCTCACTTTTCTTTTTTTTTGGACTTTAGAAATAGTATTGATTGATAGTGATGTTTTTGAATTATTATTTCTCTACACATCTCATCAGTCTATATAAAGTTTTAGAGAGAGTGAGAGAGAATGTCATCGATTATCCGGTTGCCCTTATATCAATTTCTTCACGTAGGCCTCTGTCTACCCTTCCCCCCCCCCACACATGTCCTAAATAAAGCTTAATCAAGTCCATATGTGGACACTTAAAATCCTTTATGATTGCTTACTTCTTTGACAAGTTCATACTTGAATTTCAATCTCTCCTTCTCTCTCTCTCTCCTTCCCTATTTGGGTGTTTGCATGCAAAACAGAACTAATCCCTCAGAATGCTGTTCCAGTAGTATTGGATTTTTGTTTACATTCATTGATTTTGAACTTCAAACAATCGCATTTTGTAACTATTTGTCATATTTTCGTAATTTCCTACATTAATCCTATTCAATACGGTCATTGTTAGGCTTATGTTTTATTTCTAAACAGTGAATCATCTTGTTTTACACTTGGATCTCATGAAGAAGTTTTGAAACGCTCCAAGCTTGAATAGTATTCTTTGGATTTCCTTCCAGTCTCTTTCGATTTTTATTTATTTTATCCTTGCATGTTTTGACGATTCCAAACTTTAGAAGCAAACAGCAAGTGATGAAGAACGGTAGCAATTTCTACTGTTTGTTGACAAAAAACAGCCCCGGGCGTGGGGAAAGGACGATTGGTTAGGTGGGGTGGAGGGGGAGGGGTCATACTCTGACAATTGCCCTTTTCCTCTGCTCCAACCACAAATGTTCTGTGCAATTTTAAGAAATTGTGCATTTTGTATCTTTCTTTCTTTCAATTTCTATTGTTAAAACAATAAAAAGTAAATTTAATATTAAACGCTTACACGTTTTGAAGAAATATGGCTTTATATGGAGAACGTTTAGCCATTGAACGTCAACACCGAGTTTTGTCAATTCAAAGCCATGTTGTACATGGATACGCAGGCAACAAATGTTCAGTTTTTCCTTTGCAGGTTTGTCTCCCTCTCTTTCTATGCTCATCGAACTTTTTTTCTTCAGCTAAATGGCTATGAAGTGGATTTCATCAACAGCGTCCAGTTCAGTAACCACGCGGGTAACGTGGAATATTTGAATTTACCTACAAGTAATTCCCCGTTTTGTTGCTTAGGCCCCTGTTTTCACACTTCCACTCTTAACAACTTGCTTCTTAACCTGCTCAAACCCGATTCAACTTAACCGTCTTTCAAATGTTATCAACTCCCTATCTTAAACATCATGATCTCCCTTCAGGATACGAACATGTCAAAGGCCAAAAGCTATCCAGTAACGATTTAGAAGATCTTTACGAAGGCTTACAGCTCAATAAGATCAATAACTACTCTCATATATTAACAGGTGCGTATCTCTATGATTGGCAGAGTAACTTTCTTGTTGGAGGGTATTGTGGTAATGTAGATTTCCTCAGAAAAATAGGCGATATTGTTAGTGATTTGAAGAAGAAAGATGGTTCGACGTTGTTCTGTTAGTTTTTGCTCTCTCTTCTTCATTGATTCTTGTTTTACAGTTTGTGATCCTGTTATGGGTGACAATGGCCGATATGTACTGTTATGTTAGTATCAACAACTATCTTTCTTATTTCAGTATACGCCTAGAGAACTTCTTCCTGTATACCGTGATGTAATCATTCCTTTGGCTGATGTTCTGACCCCAAATGCTTTTGAACTAGGGTAGAACGTGTAATTCGAAAACATCAAATTGAGAATATCAATTATAGTGAACTCACTGGAAGTGTGATTGAAACAGAAGAAGAGTGTTTCCGAGGAATGGATGTAATGCATAGTAAAGGAGTTAAAACAGTAGTCGTAACAAGTGGAGTGACGAAAACTCAAACTGAGAACTCTTTAGCATGTTTTGCTAGCGTTTCAGGTTATTCAATTAGTTGTGATCCTTACCATTATGTGTTTTCTTCAGAAAATGGACAGAAAAAGAGGTATCGTTTTCAGTTCCCTAGATTGGTCGGACAGTTCGTTGGAACAGGTGGGTCACCTTTTTTCGATATTGTATATTTTCTTCCTTGTTTGAAGGCGATGTTTTCGCTTCTTTACTAATTGTCCACTTGACGGAATGTGAGGGCGACGTGGCTCAGGCGGTAGGAAAAACATTGGGAAGTATGCAAGGCTTGCTTAGAAAAACTAGTGAATATGCTCAACGTGAGTCTTCGTTCGGGTATTAAACAATCCAGAGAAATTTCAGTTCAAGTAGACTCTAATTCAAGTGCATTGTCGGAGCTTCGACTTATTCAGGCACGTAAAGAGCTGCTACTGCCTCCTCAAATAATCACTGCTGAGAATGTAGCTTTGTAGGATTTTTGATAAGCAATACCTTCATAAGAATTCCATAGTTCATTTTGCATGTGTTTAAAATAAAGAAAATAAAGTTTATTAACAGTTTTTTACAGTTAGTTTTCTTTGGCAAGAATCAAATGACAAGATTTAGGTTAATGCAGTATGAAATGCTTTTTACATTATGCTTTTGAAGTAGATCAGTTAGGCTGAAAAGATCGAAAACAGCTTTACTATTGTAGAGCATATTTTCAATATAATTTGTTATTTTTTCTAAATTAATTCATCCTCAGCCCTCAGAATTGTTCGTTGAGGTGCCGACAAGTTATTTGCATTTTCCCTCGATTCGTGAACTGAAAAACGTGATCAAGATTTTTGTAAGGCGCTCTACCTGTATCGGTTTCATCCACTGTTGTTGTAGCTACTCCTATATTTGGGACAACTGGATCACCAGCTCCATATACTACGTTGATCCCAGGGTATTGTTGCTTCTGAATAAATGCTCATTTCATCTAGATTCTAGAAAAGTTTTCCATTACAATTCTCTCAACAAGCCTCATCTCCAAATTATGAACGTTCTTTCGATCCAAGTAGTTTCGACATCTGGAGAGCTCACATAATTACAAACTTAAATAAACTTTTCAACCTAGTTACAGAATATAACATGGATCCATGAACCAACAGTAAAACCATATAAAGAATGCAGGCAGCCGTGAAACTCTGTAAAAATGTGAATGACAATTCGAGAATACCTTTAAAAAAACCTCAGGTTCCTGCCTACGGAGTTGGTTCAAATAGTTCAAAGCCAACCAGTGGTTTCTTCAAATTATATTTCAAGCGTAGATTCAAGATGTTCACTTACATGATGAAAATGAACAAACAGCTTTCAACAACTATTATTGTTATATAAACGACGATGAATGGGACAAGAAGCTTGGAGTCGCACATTTTTATACCCTTGATCACCCCCCAATGGATGGCTAGGCCTCCAATAAGAAAGAGGAGTAATCCAACTTAACAGATTATAAAAATAAGAATGTAAGGCTATGGACCCACTCAAAGCACTGACATCGACTCCTTTGTTGTGACTGTACCAATCAAATTCGAAAAAGAATGACAAGACGATGAAAATTGTTAAAGACTTTCCAATGCCAACGGATATCTTTAATAATATAAAAAAGATGCAATCAGATAAGGTTTAACATACTACTGCAGCTCGTTGACAATGTGTTCCAAATGCTAGAAAATCTCTACTGTCTTCATCGAACGGAGCTACATGTACTGTTGTTGGAGGAGGTTTATCATCCTGCTCTTCCCCTGCAAAGTCTCAAAGATTTTAACCGCAAAGAAAGAAATAATGAGGAAAATTAGCATAGTCAGATATGCCACATTGACATAACATATGCGTTTCTCGTTAATTTTCTGTTCGTGACGGCCTCAGCCGGTTGTATGATTGATATTATCAATCACAAAAAGTACGGTAAAGAAAATGTGAGAAAAATTACCAGGTAAACCAAATCGAGAATAAGAAACGATGTTATGATCTCCTCTTCTTTTGAGCCAGTTGAACAATCGATCCATTACTAAAGAAAAACACCGTACTGCATGAAACAAATTCACGTTTTCAAGTAAAGTATAAAGATGAAAACTTCGTTTTCTCGACGCAATTGTAGAAGTCAGGAAATTTATTAATTTGACAACTATTATCACAGATTCTTTGACACATATTGCCTCGAAGATGACTAAGTATTTTAATGAACAGAGAACGCTTGAAACTTTAATCGTTCAGCTGTTGTTCCATAGACTGTTTGGACGCTTTCAACGCTTTTCTTTCTAGTGTCAGTCCAATAACCCCGTGCCAAGCACAAAAGACAGCAGCAACTGTGATTCCAAATCTCAAGAAAGAAAGTGATGCCAGATTTCCGAGTAACTACTCACTTGACAAAAGCAAAAACTATGCTCAAGTACCAGCTCAAATCATCTAACAACAGAGTTATCAACAAGAGGAGTACAAGTAACAGAGCTGCGAATCCGAAAATCATTCTATCCTTTCTAGCCCTTCTTTGTCCACCTAAAATCATTTTTGGAAAATGATGAAGCGTGTAGAATTAACCTGCAACGATGCCGATAGCTTCTATCAAAAGAGGTCGATTTGGCTCCCATGAGATAGATTGCTAAATTATTTTCATTATTGTTATGTTCCACAAAATTACTTGTCTGATTTCTTCTTTGAAAGTGAATCGCGCATGCAGTCCGACATGATCAGAATAGTTTATAGTCTCGCTGGGAATCTAGAAGAGGACGAAATTGTTGATCAAGTACAATGGAAAACTTTTACCTTATTCAGGGTGATTTCACACTCCTCCAAAGTGACGTTAGTTTTACCACTTTTGAAAAGGATATAATCGATTCTCTTACTTTCATCCTATAAAAAAAGTACAAAATTAATATAAAAATAGAACCCACCTTGTCTCTCAGTAGAAGACTAGTATAACAATTATCCGGGCGATCGCAAGTTCCTCCTTTGGGTATTCCGCGACAACTTGTCAGAGAGTGGCATTCATCGTCTGGCAACGGCTCATGAGACATCCTCCAAGCGTCGCGTAACTTGGCTTGTGATAATATAATTCTTAAGAGAGATATGCGAACGGAGAAAAAAATAGAACATTACCGAAAACCGAGATCTTCGGGCTCCAAATTGAAGTCTCCACAGACAACAGTCATGTCGGCTCCACTGCATGTATGACGCACAAACTGACTAAGTTCGAAAGCTTGTGAAGTTCTTAAAAGTGAAATTCAAATATACTACTGAGTACTACTTCGAAAATCTACCTATGAGGAAGATATAGATCATTCTCTCTATCATACTCAGCATGTAAGTGAGTTGTGTAAAAATTGATTCGTTTTTCCTTATACTCCAACTCGACCATTCCTATAATCTATTGGAGAAAATTAGGCTAATATTATTTTCACATCAATACTTTTCCGCCAAACCAATCCCCGCGGTGAATATGGTGAGCAAAACCATTGAGAGAATATCTGAAAAGGTTTCAAAAAAATAATGGAAAAACGAGATATTGAACACCTGTGCGTCAGAGTTGAAACGATTTTGTGTCGACTGAAAACACAAACTCCACTACCAGTCCAACCGGAATGGAAGTAGTGATGATATGGATATCTTAAAGTACCCTTGAAAATTTATTCCTTAGAATAGAGACTAACACATCGGAAAGTTTTTCAACCAAAAAGTTATAATCTTCTGCTCCCCAAATTTCTTGCAGTCCAATGACATCGTACGGTTCAATGTTAAAATGATCCGAGAGCTTCTGGAGACGATATCTTCTATCCTGGAAAACAGAGAACAGAAGTGGACAAGTAGTATCAAGCACGAGGCTTACTTTACTTCCTATGGGCCATGGTTGAGGCAAACACCAAACATTCAGAGTAACTACTCTAAACTCATTACTATCGTCCATATCTGTAAGGAGATGGCGAAAGTTCATTACATCAAAGATCATAGGGAGGAATCATGAAGAGGAAAAGTAAGCGTGTTCATTGAACTAATCTGAGCTAATGAGGTTCGAGTGAAAACGACATCAACACATTCAGTTGATCCTTGCCTGAATATGAGTCCCTGTCGGAATTTTCATTTTGGGATAGCAATTGTGGTTCCATTTTCGATTCCGAAATTTCGATAAAGCCCACAAATAAAAAAAATGGGGAGAACTTCACAAAGAGAAAAAGAAATCTATTGGATGTAGCCAGTTGAAGTAGAAATTGAAAAATACATGAGGTTACCCGTTTCATTTAGAACTTTAAACAAAAAAAGAAAGAACGCTATTGTAAAATTTGCATCAATTCGGACATTGTGAATTCCCCTTTGGCCATCAGATCCTTATTGTGAGGTTCGGTAGTGAGATATTCTATTTTGGGAGTCTGCAAACGGATTATCTGATACGGAAGAATAGACAGGAAAAACCCACATCATTCAAAGTTGATTCAGTAACTTTTCCAAGAACAACGATTCGCGGAATTCCTATCTTATTCAACTCTTTCAAGCGTTTTCCGATACTTTGATCTACTCGATCATCTACCAAGACTCCTCCCTTCATCAAACTTCCAATTGATGATATTGCCATTTCAACCAGAACATTTGAGAGTAGTGTCTAATAAAAACTTCTGAATCCGTATAAATTGAGATATCACCTTGGAGACGACGATAGCTGCATCAAAAGGAGCAATAGCTTTTGGCAGTCGAATAACTTCGTCCGAAGGGGACAAAGCCTCCATTGATGCGGGGAGCAACCTGGAGAAAATTAAGCACTTTAGAGAAATTACAGTAAACTTAACTTACCTTGATACTCCGATTCCGAAGCAACACATATTGAGAGGCTCACCGCTATGGTATGCTTTCAAACTCTCCGAATACCTACGAAATAGTAACAAAATGATTCAAAACAGTCAGAACTAACTTCGTTCCTAACTGGAAGGTATGCCCGATCTCCACAGTGGTCAAAGTTTCGTGATCTGCCGGAGAGCATTTCTCACAAGCTGGCATTTCTTTAAAGTCTTCGACTTTCACTCCTTTCTTGCAGCTGAGAAGAACTTAGTTTCAATAAGAAAAAACGTTGTAGAACTCGCACATTTTACAAAAATGTATGCCATCTTCGCCCAGAGAGTTCTTGATATGGAACTCATCTGACAATCTACCACCATGCACTCCAGAGTCGGCAGGTACCTGATATAATCAATGAAATTATACTTAAGTTGGAATGACAACCTTAAAAACTTCAAGTTGTAATCTGTCTTTCAGAATTTTTTTATAAGCCAAGAGAACTTGATTGTATGTGGTCTTAGCTGAGTCATCGTTCAAATCGAATGAGTAAAGGTCTTTCATAATGAACTGTCTCGCTCTCAACAGACCAAACCTGACATTTCAATTATAAAACATCATGAATGAATAAGTACCTAGGATTCATTTCGTCCCGAAACTTATCTGATGTTTGATAAAGCATCAAGGGAAAAGTTGACTTCTTTAATTGCGGTAACTGGCTTACAATCTGCGTGATCATCTCTTCTGCAGTAGGCTACAGCCTAAGGTTTTTAAAACCAAACCAAACAATTTAATCTACCTGTAAGCAGTATTTAGAGCCTGCCCTATCATTGAGCTGCATCAATTCAGAACCCATATTGTCCCATCGTCCAGTTTTATCCCATAGTTCTTTCGGACCAAGAATGGTTGTAGACATCTGAAGTATCACTCACAGAAATCTTATAAGAAAAATTTAAACCTTCAAAGCTCCTATACTTTCAAGCTCTTTATCAATTATACGAGAAAGCTTGTCTACTACCCTTTGGCCCAGTGGTAGAAGACTGAAATAGGAATCTTAACAATAACACGGTGAGGCCTCACCTGTACAAGCCTTTTCCAACCGGATGAATAAAACCATTGGAAATTAGTAGAGATTGGGAAATGCTTTTGGAAGCAGGGACAGAACAGCCATTGAGTAAATACCGTGAAGCATAGAACGCAACCATAAGTACGTTGAGAGAAGAAAGGTTTGTTTAATGCTTTCCTTTGGAGGCTATCACAATCAGAGCTGTTGCGAGCGTGTGCGAGAAAACGAGTACGTCAAGCAGGTGCGCACAAACAGTTAACTAATCATGAAATGATAATATCGATATGCTAACAAAGCAAGGAAAACAATCTCTGGCGAACACAGATCGATCAAAAGTTAAAGTCTATCCGGATTATCTTGAGATTTACGAGTTTTCGCGTCAGTGCCAACAGTTGTGATCAATCGTTGGCAAATTCTCCTGAACGGAAGTTTTGAATATTTCAATTTCTCTTTTTAGCTGTGATCATAAAATGAGTAAACTTTTTGTTGTTATAAAACATTACTTTATATGGTAATGCATTTTTACGGTGTTGTTAATATGTCATCGGACGTGAACTGGAAAACTTGTACGCAGACCAATAATATTCACTACTGTAATCTTTGTATTGGCCAGATTCTACGCTACTCGGAACTTCTGTGGAGTGAAACTGAATATTTATTCTAAATTATGGCTGAAGCTTTCAAAGGACTAGCGCTATGTAAGCAATTTAACGCAGAGATGATGCGGAGGTTAGTATCCAGTTTAACTCATGGTCCTTATTATGTTCGTCATCAGAAAAGTTAGAAGATCTTCGTTGGATACTGCAGTTGAAACCATGAAATTAATACGAAAGTTTGTTGTAAATGAGAAGTACAATAGTGTTGAGTAAGTTAAAAAGTTTTTCTAATCTTACACTCGTTTTTATAGGGAAATGCTTAATATAATAGCTGATTATCTACACTTCTTAGGCCAAACGTTCCCTTCAGAATTAGTCTTGAGAAACGCTTTTCTCATCTTCAAAAAGCTTGTGAGAGAAGAATCTACTCGTATTCTTGAAGGTAATGTTACTACCATTGATTCGACTGATCTCAAAACGTTTAAGAAACTGATGAAGAGTCTGCTGTTGATTCGCTCACAAATCTTTGGCATGACAAGAAGAAGTATGCTGACCCTGCCGATATGAAAAAGCTGAAAAAGAATCTGATTGAATCAATTAAAGAGGTGCTTTTTTTCGTTTTGTCCTATCCTTATCATAGGTTTAGGTCGTTCTGGAAATGGAAGGTTGTAGAGAGTGTGTAGTATCTCGAGCTGTTGATCTAATCCAGTCTAGAGATGTTCTTATTATTTATGCTTTAAACAGTTCACCAACTTTGCAAGCTTTCGTTGATAATAGAAAACAGAAAGTTCGCGTATGTATACTTTTTTACTATAAAAATTCCAATATTATGTTACAGATTTTCTCAGTTGTTGATAGTACAGAAATTGAATCATCCCCTGATTATCTATCTCCCGTAACGCTGTGTGATGTCGGAGGAAAAATGTGTGAAGTTACTAAGGTTAATTCCATCTGTTTCTCCCATTTTTCTGAAAATAGCTCGTTCTAGGTATTCTTGCCAGGTGTTGCCGTTTTCCCTGACGGATCTTGTTTGGTTCCTGCTGGAGCTCTCTCTATATGTCTGTCCGCTCAGCGACACTCAGTGCCTGTCAATGTTTTAATTTCTTTCTATAAGGTTTATATCATATATTGTGGTATGCATGGGATAAACTTGAATAATTCAGATAACACCTTTCTTCGTGCCCGATCTTTCCGAAGTCAATCCTATGCAAGGACCTGGACTACCATTTGCATGTGCCAAGAAGATAACAGGTACCTCAATTAGAATATTTCAATTTTGGCTGTGACGTGTGTTGTCTGTTTAGTTTTCGAGTTTTGAAGTTTGCGATTTTATTTAGCAGTATTTTCGTAATTAAGCATTTCTAATTGCCTTTTTCAGGGAAAGTCCAAGTAATCCAGCCCGCATTTGATGTGCTTCCTGCTTCATTAGTATCTAATTATGTCACGAACACATCGTCCATACTTCCTTCGCATGTTTACAGGTATTTCGTATGAATAAGCTATCTAATATTATCTTCATTAATTTCAGGCTTATTGGGGATTATTATCATAAGGAATAAATTCAATCGAAATTGTAATAAAACTTAAATAAATTTGCATATTCCACTTGAGTATAGTTTCAGGAAGCATATCATGCCTCGATCCAGTTTAGATTTATTAAACAACAATTCTTTTTCAGTGTTGAATATACATGGTCGTTTGCATAATCAGAAAGACAACACCATTGAACTATCGATTGAAATTGTGTAAGATTCTCGAAAATATGAGACAGAAAACCACAATTAAGTATGAAGCTAATGAGTAGAAGAGAATATTGTTGTTCGAGTTCTGCATATTTTCTATTAAAAACCGATAGAAAACCAATTTAGCGACTCAAAAATGCCCAAATAAACAGCTAAACAAAGCCAAATGTGGACGATGGCCAAGCATCCAGTTGGGGCGGAACAGCGAAAGTTAGAGACGCATAGGAGCCTCGATCTCCTTATATGACTAACAGCATCGATATCTCACCTCTAGGCATTAAGCTTTCTTGTTAATACTGTTTGAGACTCCTTTTCAATGAAGCAACTTATAATGTTAGCAGATTTTGTCATTTATCGATTTTTTGTTTGTCTAACGGTCACATGGGAGCGAAAACTCAATTGTACGACTAGTGTTGTTGGTGAACGAATCATAAAAACTTTAATCATTTCATAATTTGAATGTTCGCATAGTCAATTGACTCATGGATTCTCAACGAACTACTATTTCGGTTATCATCATAGATCGCAAGACTTTTAGAATTTTTTAAATCGTATCTCTTAAGTTATATGCATTTCTACTCTCCCGTCTCAACAAATTTATACAGCCTTGCAGAGCAAATTTTTTTCTCGCGAACGTCACCATGGAAAAGAAAGAGGCTGAAAAACTAAATCCAGAGGTTTCCCGATTTGTCCATATTCTGTTAAACAAGTTTTATAGGATTTTGATATTCCCGATGATTTCGAACAAATTACGGGACCAAATGGGCTAGCAAGATCTTCTGCTGCTGATCCTAACGCAACTCCCGTTCTTCAAGGAACTCAACCTAGTTCACCTCCGAAGAACCCTCAACCTGCTGTTCCCGTTGAGCAACAACCTTCTCCTCAACATGCAGCAGTTAGTCAAAGGGTAATACTGATCTAAATTGTTGGTGATTGTATGAACGTTCAAGGGGGTATCAACACCTACACCACCCAAAATGACTGCCGATACTGCTGGTCGCTTGAAAGTGATAATCATGGATGCAAATTTGACCAAAAATTACGGATTGGTTCGAATGGATCCTTACTGCAAGTGAGTTACAGTTATACTTTTATATGTCTTGAATACGCTTTCAGACTGAGGATCGGAAGTAATTTGTTTGAAACGCAAACAAGTGTAAGCGGAGGTCGAAATCCCACTTGGAATCGCACCATATATTCTTACATTCCAGTTGGAGTTGACAGTGTTTATATACAAATTTTCGATGAGGTAAGAAATCACATAATTGATAAAATTCTAAGTCTGAGGTGTAGAAAGCTTTCACGGATGATCAGTGTATCGCCTGGGCTCACATAGTCCTTCCGCAAGCCGTTTTTCTTGGAGATACCATTGAGGATTATTATGTACTTAGTGGACAACAAGTATCACTGGTATTCTTATCTTTTCTACATTGTGTTTTCAGGGAGAGGGACAAGAAGGAATGGTTCACTTACTCTTCAGCTTCACCCCAGTCGATAAGTTGGTCGAGGGTCAACAGCCTGGTCTTGTTGAAGGCTTGGCTACAACAAGTGCCCCCAACGTCGGCCATGTAGCTCCTAGTAATTTTCTTATAATTTTTGTTTTTGGAACTATGGCGTCCTTTTCAGCGCGGCCCCCGATGACTGAAGCGGAGTTGGATGCTGCTGTGAATGAATTAAGTGAGATGTTCCCGAACATAGAACTCGAAGTGGTCCGCTGTGTTTTAGAAGTACATCAAGGTGAGATTAACATCAAAATCATAGTTGCTACGTAAACCACTTCTGTTTTTGCGTATTTCCAAACTAATATGTTCAAACTCTTGCTTTCAGGAGCAAAAGATGCAGCAGTCACCTCATTGTTGAATATCGGGGAAGATTCCTAAACGTGTCCAGAATTTTCCAAAAAAATGTAAAAAGAACATAACTTAACTTATCTTTGCTGTATTTAATCCTATCTAGTCTATCGTGGTGGCAGCGCATTCCTACTGTTAATAGTAACTATATAACTGATAAATCAAACGATGTACTTACCGAGTTTCCGAATAAACATGAGAAAAACATTTTTTTTTATCAAGGCCATAAAGTCAAAAGATTAGGAGTGAGGAAGTTTAGAGGCAGAGACTGTTCTTCAGGCGCAATTCCACAATTGCTAAATGACCTACCCCGGCCATTTCCCTTTTCATTTCTCTAGCATTGCAGAGAAAAGGAAGAAGGAGAAAATTATCTTCTTTACATACATGAAAATATATTTCTCAAAAACAAAGTGTGTATTGCCAATTGTTTGTCTATGATGATTGATGGCATAATCAACAAACGCTCATACATCCAAATTGGCTCTAGTTTTGAGCCGAAGACTGACTGGACCCCTCATTGTGCGCATCTCACAGTCATTCATTTTACAGCTCTTGGAAGGCAGTACGCCTTTTTTCGACTTCTGTTTCGGGTTATACAATTGTATGATTCTCATAAAGCTGGAGAAGCGTCTTTCAAGAGATTTTTTTTGATAATTGAAGGAAGAGCCGAGCGACTACAGAAAACGATATGCTCGATGTCATTCTTTCGTCTTTCCTTGCATATGTTATGACATTCCCAGTTGATTCAGCTTCTGCGTTGGAACTAGTGAGTTCGGTGAGTTATGAAATTACATCTACATTAAGAACTTAACTGTTGCAGAATGAATCATCCACTCATATGATGAGCAAGTTGTGGTGTCCCACATTCATCGTGGGTACAATTTGTCCTGGTCAGTCGTGTTCTCTTTAGTTAGTTAAATTTTTTTCAAAAAAAGCCATGTCAGGAAAAAAAAATATTGAAAAAATTCCGACGACTTGAAGTATTCCAGATCACACGCTTCTGTCCTACTATAAGTGCTGTGGCCGTTTGCATAAACACTGCTGTTCTCATCTTCGCCTATGGGTAGACCATCAACTATAATCCTAAAGCCAAATTATTCAAAGCTTCAGGTTTTAATTCTAATAATTGGACTTCCTATCCTTTTCCTGATCCCACCCATCATCTACTTATTACGTAGGATTCTGTGCAAAAAAACCTACACAAATAGAGATGTGCCGGCCGGACCGAACCCAGCACCTTCTTCACTACAACCAGTTGTGGAACCCGAGTCTAATAAAGATACTTCGCTTTAATAAAAACTTTAAGACAAATTTTTATTTATTTGATAAAAAAATAAAATAAATCACAAATATTTTGAACCATGAAACAGCTTTTTCATATTTTTTTGTTTTTCGAATGTTTGAAAATAAAACTCAACAACAGGAAAGGAGAGGGTAGAAAAATGTGGCGGAAAGGTGGAAATGCTGGCAAACACAACTACTAGGAAGCTCGCCAACATGTTTAAAAACTTTCAATACGGAAATGGAAGTGAAAAAAACCCGAAAAAGGAAGTGCAGATACTGAAAAGGGATTCCTTCAGATCCGAGCAATAAACGGATAGTGCAGTTGGACAGCCAAAACTAAGAGAGAGAAGCATACATCGCTATTCCGCATTAAACAATAGATAAAAAAAGCCATATAAGGAAGGAACAAATGCCACTAACAGTAAGACAACAAACAAACATTTGGTATTCCTTTTATGATCAACTCAACGAGTAAAGACGCCAGAGTTAGTGTGATTTCGAATGTGTTTTCTCTACGTAGAAATGCAGAAAAAACCTTAAAAATATAAAAAGTATATGCATAATACATCCAACAGTTATCAAACTGCTTCAAAAGGATAATTTAACAGGATAAAACCATTTGGGTATATGAACAATCATGATAACAAGAATTCGCAGCCTTGACAATCATTAGTTCGATCTGGAGCCATATATGCTCGGCGACGTACTGGAGGCTGCTGTACAACTACCTGAGTTGTACGTTTCTGTCCTATAAGACTGACACGAGGTTCGCCAGATACTACTGGAGCGGGAGCATTAACGTCAGCTCCATTACACGATCGGTTCTCGGATCGTGGTACGTACTCCATAAGAGTGCGGCTTCTGCCGTAGATGGGTTTCGCTGCAACTCCAGCTTCATTCAAACTCAGGTTATTCGAGGAGCGTGCAAGAGCTCTGGTAGCTTCTTCGGATTCTATAGCTTCCCCCTCTTGGCGCATCTGTAAGTCAATGTAATTAAATAAGTTTCATAAGATTGAAGGTAAGACTGAGTGAAGAAATGCAGTGAGTCATCCAGAGGATGGTAATAATATCGTATTAACGAGACTATCAATGAAGATGTTGAAATAACTCGAAATCTCATTGAAATATATAAAATTGAAAATCAAACATTAAAATTAAACATTTAAAAGGCCAGAAGAGATTGGAAATTTCCCTTTTTATGAAAAATGGAAAACTTACGAATGGATTCAGATTTGGCGCCACTAACAAACATATGGACAGTATGATGACCGCTAAACAAGTTCCAGCTTGAGTTCCACGGCGAGTGCTCTGAAAATGAAAAGCTGAATTCCCATAAAAAATAGGAATCATACCTGCGCAATAGCTGCCTGCAGCTTACGTAGTTGCATCATTACGGATTGATTTTGGCGAGATAATACATCAATACGCTCCTTCAATTGCTGATTCTCTTGAGTGCAATCAGATACTCTATCTTCCAGTTGCTCAATATAGTCCTGTAAATATATCGAATTAATGATTTAATTGTTCCCCGTTCTCAACGTTTTATTATTTCAACACTTTCATACTCTTACTATTGCAATATGAAACTCATATTCGTGTATTTCTGTTCTCAGACTGTTGGATTACTTTCCCCCCAACAAAAGGTGACACTGGAAAGCTCATTCAGATATTGACATCAAAGATGTAATCTGATTAATTAAAACTGCAGGGTTTTGTTCGTATAGATCAAGTCCCGAATCTGTCCCAGCATGTAGTGTGTACTTGATTTTCATCTAGAAACGTCTTGAGATGTCCGTTTTCAGAGATAGCATTAGGAGATGGCTACTACAAGGTCAGTCTTACTTCTGATCAGTACTATGACTGCTTCAAACATCCCTTGAAGTCTTAGCGTTATCATGCTTGGATAAGCTCTGAATCTCAACATGCGGATTTCTTTCATGAACCATACAAAACTTATCACCACTTGATAGCGATTACCGAGCCAGGAAAGTAAAACAGTCGGATTAAGTTATGAATTCCTGCTTCCCTGTTAAGCATTCGCAAAAAGATCTCTAGTCATTCAGTGTCCGTTAAGCTTCAAGCAAACATCAGATCCTCACGTCACTGTCCGTCACACATCGCCGACAGTTTGTCACTATTTATGCGACTTCTGGTTCATCTCATCGTAGCGATCCCTCATAAGTATTTCACTACTTTCAAAAAAACCGCAAAAAGTAGTTATCGAGGCATCTTCTGGATCATTGCGATTAACAGACTGAATATTAGACAGCCTGTCATTCATCATGCATTTCAACCTGTCATTTCGTTATTTGAACCTCTTATCTTAAAAACCTCGAAGGTACTACATGAACATGAGTATGGAAGTTCTAGTCTGAACCAAACATAAAAACAGTACACTATCAGTAAAAATCAAGTCAAGGATCTCCTATCAGTACTTGGAGATTGACACATGCCACTTATACTACATCGGTTGTAGAATTTCACATTCAAAAAACCCAAAATACAACTCATGAAGTGATAATGAAATAACACAAAGAGCGCATCTGCAAAACTACCTTCTAATACCGTCCGCTTGTCACACGGCTTCAGAAAGATACACGGGCACTAGGAATGAATCTGTATAGAAATTCCATTTCTGTTGATTGGGGCTTGCGGAGAGATCAATTTGCACAAGAAAATGAAGCGCAAATTAGGTTTCGTGGTTTCTTGTACCTCTGACCCGATCGGACAATCAATAAATTCGGTCTTCTTAAATATATTGCCAATAGATCTATATTTCAGCCTTGGCCTCTGCTAGCGAGGACAAAACTATGCTCGAACTATTAACTGAACACTCTGAATCGGTAGCACCCACATTCACAGTTCTAATAGCAATGACAAACTGAGCGAAATGAATATTCACTAAATATTGAACGAAGAAATATTCAATAACTTTGTTTAATCATGCTGTTTGTTAGATCTGAAGGTCTGAATCAATTTCAACCTTTTTGAAACTATATAGTAAACCGACCGAGAGAGAAAATATTTGCGTTACCCTTGGAACAAACCGCCTTGTTAATTCATATTACATTAACCGCGATTTGAACATGTTATCTTGTATCTCCCATCTATTTTGCTCAAAATTCATTTTGAAATTACAATTTCTGAACGGAAGGAAACCTAACAAAACTTTTTCGTTGTATGATGCGTCGAAATTCAAACTCGGTTAAGTGAATCTCATAACACTCACTGTGTACGAACCATATTTTTTGAATAGGAAGAGAATGTCATCTTTTATGAAGTGCCGCTTCACGTTCTCGACTAATAGATCCAGAAAACCTAAGTTAAAAAACAAATCTCAACCACCAGTTCTCATCTGAGACTTTCGGAACTTAACGAGTGAATTAATATCGTGAAACTCTTGAATTCGAAATAATCAACTATCTCGGTTGCTATTGAAGCAGTGGTTTGTAAGTGTTTCGCAGCCATTCTGTGCGACTTGCAAAGTGCATAAGCATCTGACCTCTAAAAAGAGAAAACAACCCCACCATTGTGCTATCACAAAAATGTTTGATAGAAGAAAGTTTACTTTTTGCGGTATTTCAACGAAAAGTTGGAAACGGCAACGGCCGGTACGGCACGGCACTGTAACCACTTTCCAGTAAACTTTGCATAGCAGAACTAAATCGAGAAAGCTGAGCACACAGAATCGAGTAGCGGCATTGAGATGAATGAGAAGAATAGCTATTGGGATGAACCTTGGCCGTAGTAGAGAAACTACGAGTTATAAACTGATAACTAATATCGATTGAGAATCTACATGTTATATATAAAACACATCTTCTCTTCAAACACGTATATGTGTAATCGATTGAAAAATTGATGAAACTCCCTCAATAATCTCACAGCTAGATTTGTCAAAGATAAAAATGCCAAAGCGAAAGTACAGCTGTAATAGCTCACCTGTTTTCTCTTGCGACTAGTTTGCGCACTGCGTTTGTTTCTGATTTTTCTTCGAATCCTTTTCAAATCACGCTCCTCAGCTTTGGTCAATGGGTAATATTCTGGTAAGACAATCCCCTCTTTCTTACATAGACGTTTCTCTTCATCTGTTAAAACTAGAGCTGGATACTTGCGCTGGCGTTCACCTTGAAAAGAGAACTTTTAGATACTAGTCAATGATAGAAAATGATTTTTGTAGTAGGGATAACTAGAGAGAAGAGAGTAAGACAAAGATTCCCCTACTTTTTTCATATTAGAGGATACTCAATGTAAAATAGTAAGAATTTCGATAGCGAGAAAAAAATAATGATTTCTTGAAGGTCTTTCTGTTCGGAAGCTCTGAAGTGTTTTTTTGAACAGTTTCTTCAATGAAAGAGAGGTCAGGTTGGGAATCCTATCATGTTATTCAGAAAAATTAATTTACCAACCTGTTAAGGACGGCTTGATGGTGGCGCTACTGCCTTGTCCATTGATATTGCTCCCAGTTGCTTGAGAAATTGGTGTGCATGAGTTTGATTTTAGCGATATGTTAGCAGGATTTGTAGGAGACCCACGTATACTTGGCTCTGAATCATTATTAATTATCGCAGTTTCCAGAAATAGTTCATTGAATTCTCCCTCTTTATATTCGTAATTTCTATTTGACCCAATCTGTCTCAACCAATGTTTAGACCATGTCGGCGAATATATGTCTCTAAATGTCTGCCCCCTCTATTTGTGTGCATCTATCTTTCAATTGGCCCGTGAAAAGGTCATTTTTCAGAACACGAAGGCTGGGCTAGTCGAAGCCTTTCCATAGATTTTGAGACAGTGAGAGAATGTAAACGAAAAAGAATGATTGAAAAAAAGTGAACCGATTCTTTTTAAACGCAGGACAGACAATATGAGATAGATGGATTCCATTACATCGATGAAGCAACAATGTCAAATTGATGTCAGAAATCGAATGAACGGAAATCTCTCCGAGGATCTTGACTCCTTATGTTGCATATCCATCCCTGATTCCACAGATCGACAGGCTTTTTGATCATATTGCGAAATCATTGAGAAAGTTTTTGTTAGACGTTTTCTAAGCAAAACATTCAAATGAGTCATCATCCCGTTTCCGAACTAACTGCATGTCACTTCCTCTTTTCACACGTATAGATTATAATACCCTTACGTAATCTAAATTGTAACTCCAAAAAGAGAAATGCCGGCGTCAATAAAGAAGTAAAAATCTAATTGCTCTTATGAGTTCCCGTCGGGGTATGATTATAAGAGGTATCGATCAATCTTTTTGACCCGATCTAATCTTGCCAAGAGCAAGAACAATTACTTATACGCAATATATCATACTAACGATTTTCTTAATATCTGCCAGAACGATTTTCACACGATAATCGGGTTTCATCACAAAAAAATATTTTAATCTCCGGGAAGGAATCATACTATCACACTCTCAGTTGGGCGTAAAGTCAGCGCATTTGTTTAGTAAGTGAAAGAAATACACCAAAAACATGACCATTTACTCAAGGACTAGGACTTTCTGGACACCAGTTTTAACTTGTCTTTCTGGTCAAGAAAGACTACGATAACAACGTCTTCTTGACCCCGAATTGTCCAAATATCTTTCTATTCCTGTTCCACGACCCACAAGAGACTGATCATTAGAACTTCCACTAGTTACGTCCAGCCCGGCATAGAACATCATAATAAACACAATCACATGTTTCGTTTATCATTCGTAAACGGCTTAGCATAAAGTTCGAGGGAAGTTTTCCATGATGTACACGTGCTTCAGAGAACCTGGTAGTACCCAAGGTCAATGACCTGTTCTGGGTTGCTGATTACAGTTCCTATGCATGCAATTCATAGTCTTCCTAATTTCAAAATCTTTCTCGGAAGGAATTAGAGATCACAAGGGAGAAAAACTCAAAACACTCCATGTATCTATGAGATACTCTAAATGAAAAGCCAGGCCATAAACGCAATTAAAGTCATAGCTAAATAAAACGTCTCATGGTATGCCACTTTCAGCTCTCTCGTCATTCTTATTGATTCAGCCTACGCACTTACTAGTTGAGCTCTTTTTGTTTCTCTACATGCGTTCATTTTGGTTAAACAAAGCTAAACACAACCGAAAAAGCTGTTCAACATATAAACAAGGTAATGAAATGTGAACTTATTTGAAAAAATTTGATGTTTGAGTTCCCAAGAGACGAGAGAATGGAATTCTCACGTTGAATATACCATGTGGCCTCCATTTGCCGCAACTCTTTATGCAATGGCAATATATCCACATGAATAGTTGAAAGATCTGCGAAAAAGGTTCTCCCCGGAATGAAAGATAGTTCTTTGATCACAAACTGTTCGTCACATCTGATGTAGATATTAACGGAATGCGCTTAGATAGTTGAACATGATGGAATAAGAAGACACGGATCGAAATAAAAAGAAAATCACTACACCCTGCGATACTGTTGAAATCTCGAGAAATTGACTGAGATGACAAACACATTCCCAAATTACCAGCCGTACAAAATTAATTTGAAAGATAATTAAAAAAAACGTACTATTGAAACGATTAACAACTGGCCGTTGTGAGGTGTAAAATCGAGAGGGTGCATTTGTTTTTCTCTGTTGGCTTGAAACTGTTTTGTATTGAACAGGGTTAGATTTCACAGAAAGTGAGCACGAACTCGAGCTTGAACTACTGCTGCTACTCATGGGATACTTCTGTAATAAAAGAAAACAAACTATAAATGGAATATACAAATAATTACATTAAACGAGGACGGCTGCGAGAACATGACATCACTGGAGTAATCCAACAGCTCGTTACTGGCTGCTTCCAAAATATCGAGGGGATAGCCGGCTTAAATCAATCGACCTTTAATTTATATCGAACTCAAGAGAATCGCCTTACATTCTGATGAGCTGTTAGTATTAGTTGGGCTTGTAGAACCCATAGGACTGTTGGAACCAATGCTGCCCGAATTCAGAGAACTTGTTAAAGGACTGAAAGCGGCATAGTTGTGCTCTTCCTCATAATCCATATTGTCAAGCTTAGCGATCATCGTGTCGCAAAATTGATCTGCTGCAGTATTAGGCTCAACTTCCGTTTGGAAATCTATAATATGAAGTAAATGAGTATCCATCAAGCAATATAAGGCTTACCGTCTTTTAGGAGGGGGGAGTCAGGAAAATTTAGAAAATCACATGGACTCAAATAATTTCCCAGGGCTACATCAAGAGTAGCATCAGTGAGGAGAGGATCACTCAGGTTAAAATCCAACTCCATCTTATGAACAGGTGAGAGAAGTTTCAAGAACAACTCTGAAATAATAATAAGGATTAGAAGGAAGATAACCAGAAAATGCAAGGGAGAAACATAAAGAGACGTCATTATGCAACAGCCTAGCACAGAAGCAAGGCGAGAGAAAAAAAAATAAAACAAACGATTCGAAGTAAATAAATAATGGTAAATTTCATTAGGAAATCTCAGAGCCGATTTCATAGAGTATGAACAATATATTTGAAGTATCTCATTCTCAATTACTCATATGGGTTAGTTAAATTAATAATAATGACGTCATTCAAAGATGATGTTGGACAAATGAGAAAAAGTAGAAGACAAAAATAGAGAAACTACGTTGATGCTGTCCGCCCATACTAGCTAGCAGAAGAGCAGAGAAGTGTGGGCGAGAGAGGGCCCCAGCTACGAATGCAAGAGAGCGGAATGAAGCAGAGAATGAGAGACAAAAACAAGAGAAATGAGAAAAAAAGCCATGAGGATGCATACGGATAGACGTTTATGGATCGGATAAACTCTCAACGAAATCGATGATTCTTTTTCTTTTTTTTCATAACAAGTATGAATCAAAAATATGACCAATGGAATGACTTCATGTAATTTCTCAGAGAAAACAGTTTGGCGGATAAGAAATAACGATTGCAGAAGCAGCGACAAACTTTCGCACATGTAAGTAAAAACACAAGGGAATATCAAGAGTTAAGTGGAGCACGAAAAGGTGGAGTCAGCGGTGGCGGGGTGAGCAAACGCGAAAGAGGAACATACGATAAGCTAGATGGCAAACCAGAGAAGTTCATCACTCAAGATGACACGGTGATAACCCTGGTCTAATGTGATGGGTAATATGAATTTAGAAAAACAGAACAAAAACGAGGATACAAACGTTAAAAAAAGGAATATTTAGCGAAGACGAAGGTCATTTTTAAGCAACGAATTCGAATCAATTGAACACTGCTATCGGCATAACCTGGCTCTTTTTATTGACTTGATATATTTCAAAGTGTGTAGTATTCATAAATCATGGGGAACATAATCCTTATAAAACGGTCAAACTTAGATTTTTTCCCAGATGAGAGAAGCAGAGGTGCAAATGCCTAAATGAATAAACTGTGGTTCTACAGCAGCTGCACCATACGGATCATAGATAGCCACAGCTGCAACAACTAGGAAAGCAGCAAGAAATTTAAAAAAAACCTCGAGCATGACTCATTTATTACTTAAAGTTCAAAAAATCGAAAATGAAGAGCCCGATTGTCAGTATACTCTATTAAATCCTATAAATCAAGCCATATTGGAAGCGTTCATCTAAGCAAAAAAATAAAAAAGGGAAACCAATCGCGGAGGAGGACAGTGCAAAATCAATATAATGGCCCTATGCATATACGTGTGAAGGATAAAAAGAAATGAATAGTGATGAATTGAAAGAGAGAGAACGCGAGCAAAAGAAAAAAAGACATTTACATGTCTCCACAGGATGAGCTATATTTGGTCATTCATTCATTCACGTACACTTTTCTATCTTCCTATACGCTCACGCACATATACACCTTCAATATAATGCATAGAATATAACAATGAGAGTGTTAGAGAAATGTCAGAGAAAGCGGAGAAGAGACAGAAGTAAGGAGGAGGGGCTAACAATCCCGTATCATCGCCCGCTACTAATGGTCAATACAGGCAGAGGAAACGTATGAAAATTAAGTAAGTAAGAACATTTTCAGTAGAGAAGCTTTTTCCTGGACTACAAGAGGAAAATGTGATAGCAACACTGATGAAGATGCGAATAATCATGAAGTAGTTTGTAATTTAGAAAATCTTCTCACAATCGATCAATACGATTTCAAAAATCCGATGAAAACTCATTTAAGACCATAAATCGCACATATACAACCGCTGTTACGCGAACAATTGATCGAAATGAAAATAACGCGGAAGTAACCCGGCGACACGTTTTCACGTATATGAAATTTACATTTTGATCAACACTCTGTAATAGTGGCTGAACAAATTATCAATCACTGTTTGGAGTAAGCATCAACAAATTCTGGTCCAAAACAGACACAGCAGGACAGTGTGCTGACCAGACATATACAAACGAACCAAAATGTACAAATAACTCGATGCAATAGAATGTAAAGTAGTTGTAGAATAGTGTATATCGACACATACATGTAAATAGTAAAAAATTTGGAGTAAGACATGAAGTTGTTCAGATTTGAAACACATTGGTTAGTGCAAAATCCTTAGACATTCGATAATTGGAAAAAACCGGCTTAGACTCTGTGAACATTATAATAATAAAGATGTAGGCCATAGTTGAAAATTGGCCAAAATAATTCATGAACGATGGAAAAAGCAGAAGGAGCGTTCTTTTTTATTTTTGAACTGAATGCAAAGATAAAATCACCAGTCCAGAACTCCACCAATGAAGAAGAAACGTGAAATGATTGAAGGTCCCATAAAAAGGAAAAGACGGAGAGTGGGTGACCGTCAATTTGTTGGACGGTACGTCTCTCATCGTATGTGTGCGTAAGACTATATGGGCAGGGCGGAGTCAACGGCGACCTAGGAAGATGCCTATACATAAAATTACAAACACATTCAGAGACTTGGTATTAAAAAGCTGAAGAAACAGTATGTATAAGAAGTATAAGATGGCTTCATGTTCGATGGCTAAACCGATCGACTCATTTCAAAATCAGATAATGCTCAAGAAATTGAAATGAAATGGTTAAAATATGAAGTGATAGTTACTCACTGTGCATTATGCTCCATGCTTCAAATAAGAGACGGCTGATATAAACTCGGTTTCATAACGAACTGGAAGCGTTTCAATGGAAATAACAAATAACGAGACGTCAGTACTGTTATGATGACGTCGAATAAAGTCTGTTTGGTTCTTCAGACACCAGCGCAATCATAGGAAACATAATGCTTGAGTGTCTTAAGACATCAGATACTTTCGAAAAGGGCGCAAGTCAGTTGACCATATGATGCTGCTTTTTTCTTAACAAGAACGGGAAAAAAACTTTTCACGCGAATGAGGTATTGATGCGGAAAAAATTGGAGAAATAGTACTTCGTTTAAGAGTCGTTAATCTGAGTGGGGAAGAATGCGAAAAAAAATTAAAAAAAAGAATCTTACGAGTCTATTCACGAGATGATGAAACAGTAAACTGAACGGTCAAGCTTCGAACAAACAGTGCGAGAAGTCAAACCAATGACTTCGCGAACACGAATCGGGAAAGAAAGAAGATGACGAGGCATTCAATAATTAAAAGGGTGGAAATAATGATTTTGAATGAAAAACGTAGATGACGACCGCACAAAGACTATTCCGAAAGAGGTGAGAAAAGAGGATGTTTTAAACAAAAATTTGAAAAGAACAAAACGACATTCGAGAATCTGAACACGACGAGACCATGACATCCGCCTTCCAACAACAAATTGAGAATAAGGACCTCTTTTTTGTTCAATTTTCACAGATCTTGTCAATCTAATCTTTATAGGAGTAAACTAGATGATATTACCAGAAATTATGATCTGCTTGCTCACAAAAAAAGACAGATAAACAGTTCGTTATGCCAAGGTCATTATGTGGCTCATTTAACTCCTGTTCTACTTTATCTCAACCTCGTGACTTTCTCCATACTCTTGAAAAGATGATGGAATAAACGTTGAAAGATGGGAGGGCAGAAAGGGAAACGGAGTTGACTGTGTGGCCGAGTAAACAGACTTATGCAAAAAAGGGATAAATCCACATAGAGAATAAGACAGAGACCATACGAGTATATATGAAAAGTATAGATGAAAGAGATAGAGGTACGGAAGAGAAAAGGTGAGACCTATCAAGTATGTTATTGTACAGCGTGATCATACAGCAGAGCAAAATGTATTGGTGAACATTAAAACAGAAATCTTGGGAGGAAGCAATGCACGTCATGAGCAGACACGCTGTTAACAGTTCCGGTACGCAGAGTTTGCCATAGGTCAAGCAATAGCAAATTATTTATAAAAAACGAAGATTTTTATGATAATCGACCGGAAAAAAAGAGAGAGCATTATAGACAACGATTTTCGTAATCATAAAAGTGTAATGCGTCAACCGAGGAAACGCTAAAAGAAAAAATGATGAACGCAAAACATTTTCATGAAAGGCTGTAGATGCAAACAAGTATAAAAACCCTTTCAAACAGTCCTCAGACTTGAGCTAGTGCATCCAGAAAATATCATAAATAGAGTTGAGCTTCGTCGAGAAGTTTTTATACTCTCAAAAAATAAACTTGATAAGAAAGTCCAAATAACAAACGAAGAGAGCAGTAAAGACTATATTGAAATGAAGAGTTAATTCTCATCACACATATATCATATAACAGACAGCAGGCTATTAGTAGAATAGCCTTGATTACTATCTTATAAACTGTTTACATCGGAATCAACAAACTTGAAGAGAAGTTGAGAAAATCGCTTCTACCCGGAAAATTGTTGTCGATTCGTCAATCAGCTTCTCTAAGCTTGATGAAGAAAGTGCGCATAGTTTGACGACAGAGAAGCAAAACTCGGTCTTATCAGGAAGAAAGAGCAGTAAGAAAGACATGAAAGACACTAGGCTGCCTAATATAGTTATCAAGCTGTCCATCCATCTCCAGGTATGACGTGTAGCATCTTCTTTCCTTTGATACAATTCGCAAAGTTAATGTTGGGCCGCAACATAGCGATATGAAGAAGGTATGGTGCCAATCTTGTCAATAATATGGAAGTTGAACTGAGTGGGGTAATTTGATTGACAACAGTTCATAATATTAAATCTTACTACTTTCTCGCTATCATTATACAAATGGAGTAATCGTTTTTGATAACAAGATTCGAAAAATATTTAGGCGCATGTTGATAATACAAATCGTTTTCCAACCATTCGTAAACAATGAAAACATGTATTCAAATATGCTTGGACAGTGAATAAGTGAGAAGTATGAAATCTTTGCGTAAAAGCGAATCAAGGAAGTCTGGAATCTTAGATAAAACATTCTCGATAATTCCATATCAGAATGTAGAGAATACCGAAGCGCATATAAGAAATGGGAGAAAGAAGGTCAATGCAAGAATATAAGATGTTAGCTTGATAACTTCCACATATATTTCTTTACAAAATAACCTCTAAAAAATCATTCTGAATCCTTTGATGGAGAAAACTCAGAGTTTCGATATTGTGAAGAACGCGTAAGAAAGAAACTCGTACAGCAAAGTTTAACGTGGCATTCAACTACAAATGTTGGCTACATCCTCGGTTTCGTCGTCCAGTCATCATTGCCCGAAAAACTGAGAGCACTACGTGAGGAAACGTTAGAGAAAAGAAGAAATACCGAACGATCCGAACAGAAAAATGCGAGAAAATCGAAAAAACTCTTTTTCAATCTGTACGATCATTTTAATTGTCACATACAGACGAACAAGGTGAGTGTTAGGAAGGTGAAAGACAAAACAGATCATACACTTGTACAGTTGAATTGGCTGAAGGGATTGCGTAGTTTTATGAAAAGATAGGCGAGGTCATCCGGATAGGTGGTGAAACTATAACTCGTAAAAACAAAACCTTGAAAGGATGTAGCTGAAGTAACTTATATATGGATTGAAAATAAATTCAACGCCGAATAGCACTGACAATTTCTATGCAAGCGATGAACTCTAAAACATTACCAAAAATCATTTACAATTCTATAAGATTCGGGGAAACATGAAAGATACAAGATACTTAGGTTTTCTACTTTCAGGTATTTTCATTCTAGAAGTCTTTTCTTACAATTTATACGATGGAAAGGGCAAACTACCAATGAGACACAAAATTGTTTCGAGAATCTTCTATATCGGCCGTTCATTTTTCTAATAGATAATCGAGAATATAATTCGAAATACTTCTAAATTATCGAAACAATCAGATGAATGCGACTCAAGCGGAACGAAACAGACAATTCGCAATCTCAACTAACTGGAAATAACAATTTTGCATAAAAACAGGCAGATTCTAAGATACAAGCTGTCATCAGAGATCGTTTAGAAATGAAAATAAAACAGCAGGAGAAGTTTATCGGAAGAGAGGCTCTTCCGATATGTTTCGATATGCTATCGCTGTTGTAATCCAAAAAAAAAGCAATCAAGACAGAAGAAGACGGAAAAATCCAGAAGCAATAGAAGTTTAGAAAAAGCTGCAGTTGCTGTTGGCTAGCAGGATAACGGACGAGTGGACATCTCTGTCAAAGACAACTGATACTCTTTTATCCGTGAACTATTAGACCACTTGCACGCAAGGAATCTATCCTTGTAACATTAAACTCAACCCTAGACATAATCAGCTAGACGAAGCATTTGTGAAGCCATAGCAGAAAAGAATGCTAAGGGATAAACACATAGCTAATTAGAGCTTAAAACAAGATGAGTCCTGAGATTATGCTGCTAGATAAAAACACAAAATAAAACAATCTCACATACCTTCCAGATTAACGAATTTGACCTATGGGGCTAATAAACGGAAATTGCTCCTCTTGCTTCTTTTAAGACAAAACATATTAAAGAACTTCGATAGACTATTTGATTTGAACGTTTTCTTAAAAATCTAAGAACAAAAACATAATGTTTTATTGTGAATAGAATATCACGAGTTTGGACTAGAAGTATAAGTTTCCAATCAGTACTGAACTACATTCTACACTGAAAAACTAAAATTGGAAAACGTGCAGGCAAGTCTGTTTTTTAGGAATAAGTTAACATTTCTCTACTATTGGAACACCAGTCATTTCTGATGGAACTGGTAAGCCCATAATGCTTAGAACAGTTGGAGCTACATCGCACAAAGCAGTTTTACGTCCGGGAGCCTTCAATAAATCCACATTATCGATATCGTCGATCTTCAAGTCGTACCTCTATGAAACGGAACTTATCGCTGCTGCAAGTAAATGGAACTGGATAGCAAGTATGAGCAGTATGTTTTCCTCCATCAGGTGCTTTCATTTTCTCAGCATTTCCATGATCGGCAGTAACCATGAGGATATAACCTGAAGTTTGAATGAGTGAAACTATTCATCTTGATGCATAACTACCATGCTCTTTGCAGGCTTCATGAATGCGACCAATAGCAATATCAGTAGCTTCACAAGCTTTCACAGCTGCTTCGTACACCTAAAAGTACCGCGTAAAAAAAATGGTACAAAAAATGCTGCATACTCCAGTATGTCCAACCATATCAGGAGGAGCAAAGTTACACATAATGAAAGGATGTTTCTGGGCTATAACCTGTTCGACCATTTTATCTCCAACACCTGCGCTGGACATCTCTGGTAGAAGATCATATGTAGCAACCTGAACATAAGATATAGTTTGGATTAAACAGTGGTAAAAGCGCATTGATAGCGCAACAAGCAAAGATAATCGAACTTGAATAATTGGTTCATGCGATGATTTTTGTTACCGCCAGAGAAGAAGTTTAAGATGAATTAACATTGGAGCGCGTACACAACAGAATAAGAGCATGCATTTGCTTACCCTGGGACTTGGAACCATACATCTCTCTTCATTCTCAAATTGTGCTTCGACCCCACCATTGAAGAAGAACGTAACATGAGCATATTTCTCAGTTTCAGCACAATGATACTGGGTAACCCCCTGAAAAAAAGCATATACAAATGATTTAACCATGCCTCACCTGAGTTGCCAACCACTCTGCTAGAACATTTTTGTTGCTGTTTGGTGGAAAGAGTGATCGAAATGGGAACTCTGCCTTATATTGGGTCATACCTTCAAAAAAAATCATATTTGAGCGTTAGCTTCCTAGATTCACCAAAAACTTCTACATTCTTTGGATGAGTAAACTTGGAATTGCAGTCCTTATAACGTTCCATACCCATAACCTAAGATTGAAATAGTTCTACCAAAAAGTTTTAGTATTACTTCGGAAATTTCCCGCATGCGATCAGCTCGATAATCGAAAAATATGAGGGTGTCATCATCTTGAATTCTTCGCTCATTTCCTCCAACAATTATAGGTGTTAAGAATTCATCTGTTTGGTTATCGGCGTATCTGGCTTTAATTTTGTCGACAAGCTAAAGAAGAATAAATGGTGTAATAAAACCCATACTCCTTCTTACATCAGCTTCAACGCAATCTTCTCCAGATCCCCCAACCATTCCATCATAAGCAACGCAAATTCTTTCCCATCTTTTATCTCTATCCATAGCATAGTAGCTGGAAATTTTAAAAGTTAAATCCGTATCTCTCAATCGAACCCTACCGGCCTACAATCGTTGCTAGTTTTCCATAGCCCTGTTGAGAAAAGAAGTCCAATACATTTTGAAGGAAGCCGACTCCGCTGGTTGGGGAAGTGTCACGTCCATCCCCATAGAAGTGAAGATAGCACTCAGGAACTCCGAGCTCCTTGACCGCTTTCAAAAGAGCAAACAAGTGATCTGGAAAAAAAAGGTTGTTATAAACTGAGCTAACAACTGCGATAAGTTGTGAAAGTATTGGAAGATACCAAAAAAATGGCTTACCAATGTGAGAATGAACTCCTCCGTCTGAAACAAGACCAGCTAGATGAATTCTGTTGTTTAATGATTTAGCTCGTTCACAAGCAGCAATCAAAGCCTCGTTCTTAACCTGAAATTCTTGAAGTGAAACTTCTGTCGATGAAGAAAAGTAAACACTCTTGTTCAAAACATAAACAAGTTATTTATACGGACCAAAGTATTATTCTTAACGGCCAAGTTGATTCTAACAATATCTTGATAAACAGGACGTCCAGCTCCTATATTCAAGTGTCCGACCTGCAGTCAAGTTTATTATGAAATGAATGATAATATTAATTACTTCTGAGTTTCCCATGAGTCCCTCGGGTAGCCCAACGTGTAAACCATGTGCCTCGATGCCTGTGGAGTTTTCTGAAATCAATCGGCGCTGAGCAACTAAGACATATACATAAAAAACCGGTATGACTCGGGCTCTTTTTAGTACACGCACGGCTAATACAACACAGTTTCGCGAAACTCTCATAGTTGCTTTGAATTTGATTCTCTGCTCATCTCACTGTCTTTTACTTCTTCTCTGTGCATTCTTTTAACAGTGAATGTGACTTCATGTCATTGTCAGGAACTCGTAATTCAGATAGAGAAGGAGAAAAAATTAGTTTGTTTGAAGAGCGCTCCTCGCCAAATTTCCAAACATCTCCTTTTCTAATTTTGAAATCTGCGAAGACTAACGGTAGAAGTATGTTTAATGGGTGAAGAGGAACTTCCTCTATTTTATAAATGAGGGAGTGCAGCGCTAAGAACAGAAAACATTCATTATTCCTGGCCACCAAAGATCAGCAAATACAAAAATCATTCGACTAAAAAGGCATACCTTTGATCAATTTATCCATTACAGGTGTATTGGCAGCCTTGATGGCATTTCCATAGTCTTCATCGCTCAATCCCCAACCATCAATTACTACAAGACAAACTTTGTTTTCCACCTTGTCGTTGTTAGCCATTTTCTCGTAGAAGTACAAGTTAGAGCGATAGCTTGAAGCTGCAAAATATATGCATTCACTTTGATAAGTTGAAACTTTCTTTTCAACAAGTAATACGAAGTAGCAGAAAGTTAATTAAAAACAGCAGATTTTACACGGCATAAATAACAAATATTCGAGAAATAGAGAAGAAAGGGAGAGAGAGAGAGAGCGTTTTGAACGGACCGCTCGTCTCGAACAACTTTTTTCGGAATGAAATTCGAACATTCTGATACTTTCCCAATTAAAGCTGTGTTGTTTTAAAAACGGCCTTGAAAGAAAGGTACTTTTCTTCGCTCATTTCTTTTTTTTCTAGAAAAAACAAAATTGCGGCACAATATCAATCATAACGCCATTTGAGAACTCTCTTGACTCGGTAATCGACATAACAGTATCCTATGTTCATTTCGTGATAAGAGAACGACTTGTTCGAAAAATAAGTTGGCATATGACGTGATAGCCTCATACTCATTCGAAAAACGATGAAAAATACAAAATTTGATACACATAGGCCTCTGTTGCTCCCTTTCCTCCCAAACATCATTCTCGCAACACAGAACTTGTACACTTTGACGTCAATTTCTTTGTTGCTGTCCTGCCCTCGTCATCAAAATCGTCGGATGCAGTGTTCAAGAAACGATAGAACATACAGAGCAGAGACGAACTGCAGGGCAAAATGGAAAACAGAAGTTACTTTCAACAACAAAAATACACAGGATATTTCGACGCAGTGATGATGCTCTTCTGCCAACAACACCTCGAAGTGCAGTAGAGAAGTCGAAGACGAGCCAATTAGCGTTCGCAAAACAACATGGTTGTTTGATCAAATAGAATGAATAACTTTCTTGAAAGATCGACGATAAAACTACAAAATATGTAAAGAACAACAAATTTGTACACAAACAACTGCAGTGTCCATGCGTATATGGATTCGAAAAAATGGCAAAATGTTTCGGCAACAATGACGAAAAAGATACTATCAATGCCATTTGCCCACTCAATAGAGAAAACAATACGAGTCAATGAACCCAATTAGATATTCTACGAGTGTATCAGCAGCACAATCAGGAATAGGGAATACATAAAGAGCGGAATGAAGAAAGCAATCAAAACATATTCGACAAACACACTGTCCCTACCATCTTTGTCTTAAATTTTCTTCGAAAGCCAATTCGTTTCCACCTAATTTACATATTTATATTCATATACATAGATATACACATAGGTGTATGAGACTCAACAGATTTTTCTGGACTGAAAAAAACAACTCGAAACGGGAATGCCGTGGCAAAAAATGCCAGTAGTAGTAGCTGCGGCAAAGGCTAGCAACTGCGATCGATGCTTCTAACACTCAGAGTTGACGTGCTATTTCGAACATTTCAAACCTTACTCTATTTTTCTCTATTTCCCTGCCTCTTACAATTCTTGAGCGAAAGAAAAAGATGAAAAAAGTCCGTCATATGGTCTAATGAGCTTGGTTATCAAATCAGTCCAAAGAACTAAGCCACATGATATTGATAAGTCTCAAATAGATGGAGCGAATTTCATAGACCTTACGAGAGCAGTGAAGAGAATGATTCTAACAAGAAAAAGAACCCTTTCCTAATATATACGTTTTGATATCGAAAACTGAAAGTTAACAACTTCCGAGGCTGCTGCGCCCAATCAATGAAAAATAAAATTACACTGAATTCTTTATTCTTAGACAGAAACAAATAGGATGACTCATTACATACTATTTACAGTCTTCTTTAGAAGAATTGAAACACCTATTTCAAAAATAATCGATGCCGATGACCAATATTGAAGCGATCATACGACCTTAGACGTAGCGAAAGAGCTTTCATTCTTAAAAAATCAGTTACTTGTACCTATATACGCAAGTGCGCTACACCATAGATCGTAATTTTTGTGTATGTGATGAGTAAGAATACATCTAATCAATAGCAAGCAAAATACCAATAAAAGAATATCGAAGGCAATTGCAGGCGGGTCGGGGTCGGCGAAACGGACCCGTTCCCTGACTATGTCAGAAAGGAGGACGAGTAATACGCAGCGCAGCGAACCATCATCAAAAAAACCAGACGCAACCGAGAAAACCTAGAAGGGGATTGAATACAGGAAAAGACCTTCAGAATCACAGTGACTAAGGGGTGGGTTGTAACCCAGGTCGAAAAAAAGCGACTGGAAAATGAAACCTTAGGTGAAAAACATGCTTCTTATAATAAAAAAATTGAGGGAATACACACATATGAACACAGACAATAAGGTATTCTTTCAGATCCGTTGGATTTTATCCGAAACAACGACAGGATTGTTTTTACGAATCTCTTCACGCTCCATTGTTTTATAATCGAATGAACAATTATGAGCTTTATCATAGCGATGATCACCACAATAAAGTCCGCCACAACGGCAAGTGAAACCTATAATATTCTAGTATAAAGTAGTTCATTAGCAGAACACACTTACCCGTCAAACCGACTTTTTTTTTACACATTAGGCAACGATTAGCTTTCTTCACCGGGGCAGGAGCATCAGATGCAACCACAGGACTTTCCGTTGGTTTGCTACTGAAAACACCACTGTTTAGTATTCCGGAGAGATATTCAATAAGTGATACTATGAGCACCACATATTTTTCCAAAGATATATAGATAAATACTTACCACGCTTCCGACTCAGTTGCAGCAATTGCTTCTGCACTCTCTAAAATTGCAGTAACATCGGAATTAGAAAGAGCGGCTTGAGCACAAGTCTGAGCTGGTTCCGGGACGGTAGAACTCGGAGAAGAGGAGGAGGAGGAAGAGGTGGAAGTTGAAGTAGAAGAGGATGCGGCCATAGGAACGGCTACGGGAACTAGAGTAAAGTGAAATTAGTTTTCGTTGAGGAAGAAAAAGGTACCTGTGGGAGATAAGCGGGCAGTGTCCTGCTTACGCTTGATGTTGTCCTTAAAACATTTTGAGCAGAGTCCCTCAGTTGCACTAGAACCAAAGAAGCCACATCCTCCACGGCAAAGCGATGTTGAAGACGGTTGCTGTTGGTTTTCCATTAAAAAGCTGCTGCAATCAATAAATATTAGAAAATGTAACGTCACGACAAAAACAAAAATATTCAAGAAAAATGAAAGAAATCGATTGGGAAAAAAAGTTTCCTGTCCTCAATGAGGGTGATATGAACAACGAATATTGAATATGAACAACAAGAAGGACGAGTAATTTGGGCGGAGTACACAGTTAGAAAGAGCGCGTGACAATGCGTTTGTTCACTGGCAATGACATGTACTGACGAAAAGATATGAGGAAATTACACCTAAAGCAAAAATTGAAATAGAATAGGATAGTATTTAATAGAAGTTATAATTTTTGCGATGGTAAAAGTATTAACTGTTAACTTCTACACTAGCTTTCGTCATCATTGCGTCGATATCGACCCGCCTCGGCAACGGTGTTGTAAACAAGTATTTCGTCATAACGAGAGATTCTGCCACGAAGAGCAAATTACAACAAAATTGAAAAAAAATTGTGAATCGGGAACTGTGCATGTATGGCTGGTATGTCAATTGGAGTCACAGGACCTTGCGCTCACAACGAAACGTAACCTGTCTGCAATACGCGTCGCGTCCGCTCGCTGCATAGTCACAACAGCCAGCCGGCAGACATACGATCAATACGCTGCGCACACAAAGCCCAACGCATCAATATAAAGGAGTATGGTGGGAGCAGAGGACAACGAACTATACAGCATGATTAATAACGAGGCGGAGGTGACATTTAAATGGGCATTGTGGTAAACTAGTCAGAGCTTGAAGACAGTTACACCAATGTTAGTTCCTAAGGAGAAAATGCGCGAAAGGGTGTGTTTAAAACAGAAGAAGTGGCAATAATAAAGCACAGGCTGAGTTTAAAACAACAGAAAACTCCAGAGTATCTTAGAGTGTGAATAGGAAGGGGAGCAGCTAAATATATAGCCATGTATGTGTTGTGTGGTTGATCAGAAAATAGCACACCAAAGAGCGAACCTAAACACAAAAACAATCGTGTCTCAAAACAACTACAGACATCAAAAATTTTACAAACCTTTTCTACAAATTGGAAATCATAATCAGAGAATGGCTGAAGGAACACAAGAAAAATGAAGACTGCTTAACAGCTGAAGCAACCTGATAGAAAAGGCGAAAGAATTGGAAGTAAAAAGGCAGGAGGGGGAGTAAAGATCACATGATCTAAGAACATACTTGTTAAATATGCACTCAGGCCGATTGGACTCACATACCAGAACGAACACAGGCAGAAAAATGAATATCTACGGGCGCTGATGGATTTGAGAGCACATGCACTTTACGGACATCAGATGACGAACGTAGTACAATGCGCTCAAACAACTATGAAGCCAAGAAACCCATAAACCCTACTATAATTTAACGGAACAGACCTGTATTAATTTAGTTTGATGTGAAGCTATTTGAATAAAGGAGCGTACGAGTATATAACTACAGGGGAAAGAATGAAAACCTGCGATTCACAATCTCCCAGACATAACCGAGTCACTACGTGGTGAAGGATGACAATTAAAGGTCGGGCGAGAAGCAGACAACCAGATACTGTATCATTGGAGCGCACTTTCTGAACAGAACAAACACCCAGAGCATAATGAAACTAAAACGATTCAGCTGATGCACAAACGTGCGAATCCACTGTGAATGGTAGACATTATTCGGAGGATATGTTTGAATGAGCACAAAAATGTTTGAGGCGACGACATACAGACTGATAGAAGGGTGGGGCACCATAAATGAAGAGCGCAAAAAAGTTGGCTGGAAAAACAACCAGAAACATAAGAGTTCGTTGATCTCTGCACAGCCTCGTCTCATTGAAGTTTATATACTTCTGACTTCATCCAGAAACAACGCCTTCGAAAACGCTGTTGTCGACCTACACCCTGAGGGCATCACGTCACAACATGTAGGGCAAAAACGAAAACAACTACAAGACCAACGTCCATCAAGATGAATGTTTTGAAGAATAGTCTAGGCGTTCTAAAGTGAATAGTGCAAATAACCTAGACATAGGAGGAGAAAAGTGACAAGAGGCATACAAGTAGTTGAAGCTACAATCCTAACAAAGAAAAGCGAGCACATCGACAACGCGGACGTTATCGCCAGCGTCAAATAAATGACGCGACGCTGTATGGCGGGAAAGCCAACTGAGGAAAGAGGAAAAGGAAACTAGGGGGTGGAGTTTCGAATGTTTTTGTTAGCTGAAGCACAAGAACTACTACGGCACGCAAAGAACACATCGATCAGACTATGTTTGGTCTTAATAATCGGAGATACGGGCTCAGAAAGAAGTTCAAAAACTAGCGCCTGAATTAAACGCAAAGTTGAAGAGGTCGAAATGAGATCTACGAGAGTGCAATATTAGAGTTTCGAAAGACTAACTAGATAAATCGGAGAGTGAATGAATGGAAGGAAGAGATAGCGAAACAGAAAAAGACAGGATGATAGGAGAAGAGAGACGACGAACATACACACGGTAACGACTGATCTCGTGAACGCTGAATAAACAGGCTGTGTGATACGCTCATATGTATGCTAAAGGAGAGTCGGTACGAGGTAAATTTCGGTTAAGAGGGAGCAGACATCGAGAGCGTTAGTCTCTCCAGTAAGGCTCGATCAATTGCAATGTATGCCCAAAGATACAGTTTTACAGTCGTAATGTGATAAAGCCTGAATTTGCCTGAAGCAAAGAATGAAAAAAGGAAACAAACAGTTTACCCACGAGATATTTATGAAGACGTTTATGGCCAATACTGGGTGAGAGGGAAACTCAGATCCAGATAGATATGGAACGAAGGTCGTTGCGTCATGCCTACGACATTCCCCGTTCCAAGTAGGCGCAAAGGCAACATGTTCGATGATTGGAAATTAATGATCATCACGAGATTGAATTGGAGGTGTTACATTCTATTTTTTCTTACAGTCGGATTTCAAAGTGAATTACAGCAGACAAATTCTTTACAATTGATAATCCGAAGAAATGCGTGGCAAAGAAGGATTATGAGTAAATCGCGAAAACTTTCCCTCTCTTTTCCCTTTTCTCGTCTTTTAAATCGGACTATAAAAGGCAAAACGAAGGTACATAACGGAATAAAGATAAAATAACGAGAAAGAGAGAAAGGGAGAACATGCCAAACCAATTGCTGGCGGCATTCCATAGATTTCCATAGACTGAAAGGTTCAGAGGGGGCGATAGAATTCGTACCGGAGTAACAAAGGAGAACGAAAGCAAGTCAACTTTTAAGTAGGAAACGATAAGGAGTGATTCTCATTCAGATATTTTAGTATAAAAAAGAACGAAAAAGAAGGTTCGAGACTCAATTTGGCCAGGAGGAATCAATAATGTTTCGAAAGTGCACGAAACAGAGCGAGTGAGAAAGAGCGCGGTTAGGGATCGAGGTTCACAAGGAAATAATTGTGAAATGATTTTCATAACAAAAAGTTATAAAGAATCATTTTATTGCTGGTAATACAAGCTTCGTCGTAGAAGAAAATTCGCGGGGAATACAACAATGATGAACAATTTTAGAGAGAAAAAGAGATATGAAATACGGAAAGGATGTTTATGCAATATGAACATACACATGGGTTCTATATCTATTTTTCTTCTTTTTCTCCTAAATATCTTCTACCTTATTCAAACTGTGACGAGCAGATAAAGAGCAATGCTAAAGTAGAAGTTCAAGAAGATATGTCTAGAAGAAATGACAACGAGCTATTGACGAAGAAATAAAGGAAGCAAAGACACAGGAAGAGTTAGAGCTTTTCTTGCTGGCTAGAAATCGAAATAGTTTAAACAGGTCGGAGAGCGTTCTGACCTGACTGAACTGCCTGGCTAACTAATAGGCGGAGTTAGAGCGGCGAAAAGGTAAAGATAGTAGAGGGGTGGAGCTCACAAAGTAATAGAGAGAATCAGATTAGAGGAAAAGGGAGCTAGGAGAGACACAGAGAGGAGGGGAGGGTAGTGCGGAGTGTATGTTTGTGTGTATGTTGAAGAGATAATAATAGAGGAAAATGAGAGAGGAAGGGAGAGAAAGAGAGAGAGAGAGAGAGAGAGAGAGAGAGAGAGAGAGAAAGAGAGTAAGAGAAATACTGAATGGCAATTGAACGATCATTGGATACTGATTCGTCGTTGAATTGGATAAGAGAAGAGGCGGAATAGTTTTGGGACGGACCCTTCTACCATCAGATTTGCTAGTAAGAGAGAACGACTTTCAAGTCTAGGTTGGGCAGATAGTTAGGAATAGACAGACTGAAGTGGAGGCAGCATGTGAGCGAAGCCGGTTATCGTCATCATGACCCGGAGTCGTTGCTGCAGTTGGGGGAGGGGGCGCGTATGGTGCGCAACCTGTTTGCCCCGTAGACAAACGCTAAAAGAAACAGGGGGACGCCATTGATGATGAAATGCTAAAAGAGTGAATGGCAGACAAGCTAGTTGTTACCAGGTGAAATGGCCGTCACACAACACGCCGGGGGACTCAAATGAAGATAGCGAAGACGGCTTCTTTTCTATAGTTTGGTACTGATTTGCCCATCGGGACCAGAAAGTCGAAGCCTCTCAGGGGGCAGAGTCAATCTCTCCTCATCGTGTCTGCCTATAGCAGAGGGCGGAATATGGATTTAAACGATTTATATATGCTCTCATTGAAAGTTGTGTGGATTGGCGTCGTGTCAACGAGGGAGAATTGAACACACGAGAAGGTTGGAAAACAATCTTATATAGGAAAAGGGGGGAGGAAGATGCGCATAGTTCCACAATGTAATGATTGGTTGAGTGTTTTTAGAATTTTTCATTTTATAAGACGAAAATTAATCGTGAAGGGAGTTCATTGATAGAAAGAAACGCAATTTTAATCGACTCTGAAACCTATATAATGAAAGATATGCTTACTAAAGCAATTCAAACTGCACATGCACTTTCAACAAGCTTGATAGAATAGAGGTTGAAGTCAGGTGAATGTAGAAAGAGTGGGAGGAACGAGAGGACGAAACTG